GAAGAATAAAGAGAATTTTTTTTTGAAGCTTCTATCCTATGGAATGTGAGATACAAAATATTCAGGTAACTTCAGTTTAAGCCACTTCAATAACATTATTATTATTATTAGTAGTAGTAGTAGTAGTAGTAGTAGTATTTTATACAGGACTGGGCATCAAATTCAGGGCCTTACACATACTAGGAAAATGCTCTACCACTGAGCTTCACCCTAGCCCATCTTTTTATCCCTTTTAATTGGACTTCAAACATCACAAAATGGCCACCATTTGGCTTGCCTTTCACAAGGATAGTAGTAGCAAGAGGAGTGGATTTACTAACAGTCTTGTATGTTTTCAAAACTCTTCTTTTTAAAAAATTTACCTGTAGCTCCTATTTATTGAGCACTTGTCATAGACAGAGCCTTGTGTCTTTCACTTATGTCTAGTCTCATTTTGAAACTTCCAACCATGGCCACCCCACAAAGGAAGTAGTTCCTGGGCCCTCTGAGCTCAGAGAATCAGGTGGAGTCATCTGGGATGGTGCCACTGGATCTCCCAATCTACCAGAGCTTGACCTGGCCAGCCTGGATCCAGACATAGCCTCTCAACCACCCCAGGCTACTTGCCTGAGGATTCACATGGGCTCTTCTCCCATGACAAAAGAGGGCAAGTTTAATAGACTTGGGACCCACTCTACAGATGGAGCCTGAATATTCTCCAAGCAATTGTTCTTGAATGCCTGCCTTAGGATTTTGTTTTCTGCCTGCAAAGAGATCTGTGTGAGCAAGACTAGCCAGGGTAGAGAGAAAATATGAAAGGATTTGAAGCCAAGTTTTACCTTTTCTCTTTAGTGGCATTCAAATGACAAATTGGAAAATGTCCTAAGTGAGGGAAAAAATATGACAGTTATAAGTTGCAGACTTGGAGGCTATTTTTGTACATAGGTATATTCAGTAAGGTGGACTGGAAGCTAAGCTAATACTTAAGAATGGGCACCTGCTGGCAATGCTCATTCCTTTTGTGTCTGTTAGACTGATTTTATTCCCATGACCACCAGAGGGCAATATCAATATACCCATTTCACAGGTGAGGTATACCAAATCAAGGTTCTTGAATTGCCCTAAAGTACAATATACCACAAAGCTTATTCAGGATGTGAAATTGGGACCTTATTAAAGATTTCCAGCAGCACTTCCCTGTCTCAGTCAATATTTTCCACCAGGCAGGGTTTTCGAAGACATGTTAGAAAGCAAACTCCATGAAAGTAGGGATCATCTGTGTTCTTCATCTGTTTCTCTAGGACCTAGCACACAGTAACTGCACAAAGAATAGTTATTTAGCAACTAAGTAAGTGGGATAATGGGTATACAGAATCGGGGAGAAGGATGGATGGATGATGATATCACCTTCCAATAACTTTTATATCAATGCAGATTCTGTTATCTCTTTATGTTGCATTGATTTCTATATTTAGTATCATGACCTTCTAATATTAAAGCTCAATAATTGGGACAATCTGAGCTCTTCATTTTCCCTTGTATATCATGCAAGTGCTACTACCAGGTGAAGATAGGGACTCAGGAAACTCTCTTTCCCTGGTCAAGTGGCATTGCCAAGAAGCTTATCATTATTTTAGCTTTCATGGAAGGTACTTTCTTCTCTTTTCTCCTTTTCTGTGAACTCCTTATTCCTCAGATTAAGTAGGTATTTAAGTAAATGATGCATCAAACACTTAATTCCATTTTGAAGAAAATTTAGAAAGAAAATTCAGAAAATCCCAAACTCTTTACCAAGCCCATTTTGCAAGTCCGTATTCTGGTCACCATTTATTCTCCAAATGCTCCTCCTAACCCCCTCTCCCTTGTGCACTGTAGTCAACCCTCTGCCTAACGTTTTATCTTCTGAAACAAAAGAGCTGGTTCAGACCAAGCAGAAATACTTCTTAAAAAAAGAAATGCTTTCTCCTAGATCATCATTTGGTGGCTCCTTCTCATTCTGCAGAGTTATTGTTTATTTAATAATTATAAAGCCCCAACCACATGCCAGCCACTGTTCTAGATGCTGGTAATGCAACAAGACATAAAGCACAGATCTGCTCTCATGGAGTATATATTTTAGTTGAGAAGAAAAACAAATAAGCAAATAATGATATAAGGTAGCATTACATGCTTAAATGTCAGCTCATGTCCCCTTAGCCAAGATTCTGCCAATTCTATATATAACCCAACCTTGTTTTCCTACTATTTATTAAGGCTTGAAATGACAATATTTATTCAACCTGTATGTTTTCTGTGTTATTCCAAACCATGAAAGTCCTGACTCCAGGGATCTTGTCTGTTATTCACTTTTATATGCTAGAACGGTGCCTGGCAAATAGAAGGAGCTCAATGAAAAAAAAAAAAATGAATACCTATTCACCCAGGAGTTTCCAGTGGAGCATCCCTGATCCTAAATGATCCAAAAAAAATGAGCATTGATATGATGCACAAAAAGTTGTTAATTTTGGAACACTTCTGATTTTGAATGATCAGTTAAGGATGATTAACCAGGAAAGTCTATGCAGATATTACAAAATCTGAAAAAAATGTTGAAATCTGCAACACATCTGGTAGCAAGCATTTTGGATAAGGGATGCTCAATCTATATTTTTATGCACATCAGAAGAGGATTCAAATAAGAAAACCTGTTATTAATCGGAGATCTACGGAATGCCAAGTACTGTATTAGGTACTGGGGACCCAGCAGTCTGTGAGGCTCACAAAATATCATAAGATCTCAGAGCAACAGAGATAAAATAAACTAATTTTAAAAGTAGTGACTAAAAGGAGCATAAGGCAGAGTATTATGGTTATTATGGTATATAGAAATTGCTGGGGAGGAGGGCTGTTTGGAAAAGGTAGCTGCAGAGGGGCTTGCTAAAGGGGACCAAGGGGAGACCCGATGGCTGAGAAGGAGCTGGCAGTTCGGAGAGCAGGACCAGAGCTTGCCAAGCCCTTGTGAGAGGAGAGAGCACGGCATCCTTGCAAAGCAGAAAGAAACCTGTGTGGTTGGAGTGACCAGTGACAGGGAGAACAGCAGAGCAGCACCTTGGAGAGGTGCACAAGGCTGAGATCTGGAAGGTGAGGAGTTTAGTGCTGTTGTATTATTATTGGAAACCACAGGAGGCCTCTGGAGAGTCTTAGGCAGAATTGTGAGAGGTCTCAATTACATTTTTAGATCATGCTAGGTGCTATGTAGAAAATAGATTATGGAAGGGCCAGAGAGAAGGGCACTTAATCAGTATTTTTTTAAAAAATAAAAGTTTGAAAGAAAAATAAATAGGAGTTTGTAAAGGGGATGCTGGTGACAAGGATATTGCAAGCAGAAGAGTCACGTGTATAAAAACTTAGAAGCAGGAAACAGTCTGGTGTCCAGGAACCACAGGTCACCTGACTGGTTAGGACTTGTAGGTGTGTTTGGAGGACAATGCCACTTATATTAGCTGGTCAACAGATGCTGGCTGAATAGTAGAGTCCCCCAAGATGGTACAGTCTGGTTTTGCTATTTTTCATTTTTCTGGGTGTATCTCACCTCTCTGTTTATAAATTCTTTGTAAGCAGGAGGAGGGTCTAATTTCTCATCCTCTGCATAATTGAAGTTTGTTTAAATTGAATGACAGCTACACTTGAAAATTACAAGATCCAGGGTAAGAGTGATAAAGGGATAAGAGCATAGATTTGGGGATCAGGTAGCCTTGGACTCATGTTTTGAGCTCCACATATTAATTGTGTGGTGTTGGGAAAATTATTTAGTAGCACATTCCTCACATGGGGAACGGTGAAATCAAACCCTAACTTTCAGGGTTTTTTATTATTATTATTTTAATTTGTTTTAATTAGTTATACATGACAGTAGAATGCATTTATGCACTTTGATATATCATACATTTTCAGGGTTGTTGTGACAATAGAGATAAAAACATGTAATTCCTGCCAATTGAAATCACAATGCTGTAAGCACTTGATGAACTGCAGTGATTTGTGTTTGGTTTATGACAACAGTATTGGTATCTATCAAGGTCCCAAGAGGAGCTATCAGGAGGGAGGCTCCTGGTTAAAGCCTGCCACTAGCTCAGTTGGGGGGGAACCTCACTTCCATCTCCATAAGACAAACAGGGTGAGATATATGGCACACCCCAAAACAGACACTCTGAAATTTCAAATGCATATTTTGAAAGGTTGATCTGAGTGATCCAAATGAGGGCTGGAGGTCATTTTGTTTCGCGCTGCTGAAGTTGCCTCTGGTTTTTTAAGAATCTGCTTCAGCATTGCAGGGAGACAAGAAAAAGTGCTTTTAGAAAGTTTTTCCCAAATTCCCAGTGGTTCTACTGGTTCTATCTTAACCTCAAATTACAGGTTAAATAAATGCTATTTTTATTTTACAGGTGACAGTGGCAGACATAGAGAAGATTAACTCCCCATCACATTGTTCCCAAACAAATGACTAATATATAGAAGAATTGATCTGTGAAACTGTTGGATCAGCCTCAAAATGTTTTGAAAAAATATCATCCAAAATCTACTTATCAATTCCTTGAACTTCAGCATCATCTGGTGCTTTATAATTTCAATTCTCCAGCCTTTCCTTCTTCTAAAGTAGCTTTCAGTACACAGAAAAGACTAATGCATGAGGAACCAGGAGATCTGTTTTCCAGAATCTCCTCTGCTACTTAACAGCCATGCTATATTGGGCAAGTTACTGAATATCTCCAAGACTGTTTCTTCATCTGTGAAATGCCTTGTAGTGCTCTGAGTAGATTAAATTAGATAACATATACAAAACTAACCTGAATATAGTTAGTTCAAAAAGTGAGTAAGAAGGCTGGGGATGTGGCTCAGTGGTAAAAGCATTTGCCCAGCATGTGTGAGGCCCTGAGTTCAATCCCCAGCACTGCCCACCCCCACCCTCCAAAAAAATAGTAAGAGCCAGGCATGGTGGCATACATCTGTAATCCCAGAGGCTTGGGAGGCTGAGGCAGGAGGATCCTCAAGTTCAAAACCAGCCTCAGCAACTTAGCAAGGACTCAAACAACTCAGTGAGACCCTGTCTCTAAATAAAATATAAAAAAGGGCTGAGGATGTGGCTTAGTGGTTGAGCACCCCTGGGTTCAATACCTGTACAAAAAAAAGTAAGAGCCAAGGTGTGGTAGGTGTGGTGGCATGCACCTGTAGTCCCAGCTAGTCAAGAGTCTGAGGCAAGAAAATGGCATGAGCCCAGGAGTTTGAGGCCAGTCGGAGCAACATAGTGAGACCCCCCCATCTTAAAAAAAAAAAAAGCAGATAAGAGCGTATGACAATTGAATCAGGAATCTTAGATCTTCTCTACTCTCACATCTGTAGCAGACATACCATTCTCTCATTATGGCTTTGGTTAAACAGTTTGGTTTATCATCTGGGGTCCTCTTTGCTATGTGCCTTAATGACATTCTTCATTGATGACTGTCATTACAGTGTGAGCTAAACTTGTGCTAAGTTTGACTTCAACTGGTACACCCCCTGGCGAGGTGGTGTGCAGATGAGTGATTGCAACCCCAGATTCTGGGGTCAAAGTTTTGGATCTGTTCTCTGCTGTACCATGGTAGCACTCTGTGAAATTCAATTTTGCCTGTGTCCCTTCATGTGCACTTGGGAAAAATACTATCCTATTTCATAGCATCAAGTGAATTGACATACAAAATTGGACCAATGCCTAGCATATAGTAAGTACTCGGTAGTTACTAGCTATTATTATTGTTTACATGAACTTACAAATGAGATTAATGGTTTGACAATGTAGCTTCAGAGTTAATCCCACTAATCTTGAAACAGGCCAAGGAGATGTGTATTTTGTGAGGTTACCCAAGCACTTTCATAACATTTACTTAGTCATCATGGTTTTGTGGTCCTTCAGGAAAGAACTGGGTTGTAAATACAGGAGTAAAAGAAAACAAATCCCCAGTGCCTGCTTCTGAGAGATGTTGGAGATGTTATATTTGTTGTTTGTTACCATAGAGGTCATAGTAGAATTAATAAGTTTGTGTTACAGGTGTGGTAACTTATGTGTGTGTAGATGCATATGTGTGTGTATATGTAAATTATATATATATGTGTGTGTGTGTGTGTGTGTGTGTGTAAATGTGTGTGTGCACGCATGCACTCTGTAAAAATGGTAGGATAGAAACACCAGGGCTAGAGATGGAGGTAGAAGGTGACTGCAGGTGAAGGGTGTAGGAGCAGAAGTAGAAATAGTGGAGGTGGTAAACACTTTCCACCAGGCACTGCACTAAGCACAGTATACTTTACACACCTCAGCCTCATAAAGGAGGACTAGAGGAGAAAGACACTTGGGTCAAACTACCTGTCCCAGGTCGCAGCCAGGCAGAACTGAGATGGGGCCAAAGCTGTGTTTCTGAATCCCAGGTCCCTCTGTGTGCTGCCCTGCTGTGTCAGTTATTCACTTCACTATCACCTAATTTGCAGAATACAGATGTGCTCATGGATTATGAGAGAAACACTTACCTTAAAAACAGATCTTGTATTTTTGTGAACTTGGCATGGATGCATTTTGAGATCCATTTTGAATAGTGCAGATGTTATTTTTTTAATTCTTTTTTAAATTTTTTAACTTGTCTTAATTAGTTATACATGTACATGACAGTAGAATGCATTTGTGCACTTTGATATATCATACATAGATGGGATATAATTTCTCATTTTTCTGAGTGTACATGTTGTAGAATCACATTGGTCTTGCAGTTACACATATACATAAAGTAATACCATCTATTTCGTTCTACTATCCTTCCTATCCTAAAACAAAGTGATGCCACTTTTTTTTATTGGTGAGCAGTAGGATTTGTTTTGATATATTTATACAAGCATGGAATATATCTTATGCTAATTAGGATCCAAGTCTTGTGGATGTACATGATGTTGAGGTTCACAGAGGCATCTCAGAGCTGTGATCCAGAGGCAGACATGGCAAGTGGAACCAACCAGGAGAAGAGGTCATTTGTCCATACTTTAGCCAGAGAGATCTCAGTTGTTGAAACATTTATTTTGAAAATAGGATCTCAAGGATCCAGTCAAAATTAGGACATTTTTGATTTTATAAATTATCTTTAATACAACAGTCAAGCTGATGCCACTTTTTTTTATTGGTGAGCAGTAGGATTTGTTTTGATATATTTATACAAGCATGGAATATATCTTATGCTAATTAGGATCCAAGTCTTGTGGATATACATGATGTTGAGGTTCACTGCGATTTATTCATATATGTACATAAGAAAGTTATGTCAGATTCATTCCACTATCTTTCCTATTCCCATCTCCCTCACCTCCCTTCACTCCCCTTTGTCTAATCCAGCGAACTTCTGTTCTCTCCCACCCCCACTTGTTGTAGGTTAGTATCTGCATATCAGAGAGAACATTTGACCTTTGACTTTTGGGATTGGGTTATTTCTGTTGAAGTTTCTTGACAAAGAGAATTTTGACATATTAAGAAACACTGCAGCTCCATATGACATGGATTGGAAGTATTAAAAGGTAGAAACTTAATGTTATATCAGTAATAAAGGCATTTTATAAAATGCAAATCTCAAAGCTTATCTTTTAAAAAAACAATAATTTCCCCAATATCATATTATTATATGATATTATATGATATTCCTTGGGGAATGCCTAAGTGCAGAGGGCAAGTATTTCATTCAATATGCACAATAGACCTTCAAAGCAAATTTTATTATTACTATTTGTAGATAGGAGATGGAAGATTAAGGTATTTATTCAGTACTCCATGACAAGGAGGTGGAAGTGAGTTAGGATTCCAGTTCTTCTCTGATGAATCCACACTCCAGGTCTGGCTACCCTCCTGTGCTGCCTCCCAATCAGGCCTATGTTTCTGGAGACAGACATTTGTCATAAATGTGGAAATAAAGAAATTGAAACGTAGATAAATTTAAATCATAGAGTTATTTCTTCCTTGCAATTCAAGTTCTTTATATTGATCCACACTGTATAAATTCAAGGTGGATCTCAGGTCTAGCTTTAATGCACTGGAAAAAAGATTAAAAGACATTCTCATGCAGCAAAAGGCACAATATCCTGTTTCCCTTCTAGTGTTAATCCTGGACTGCCTCTCTCCAAAGATAATTGATCTCAAGGATTTTTTTTTTAAAGAAAAACACTTGGTTGAAATTCTTTATCATCATGGGGAGTCAGATATTTATTCATTTCTGACAAAAGTACAAGTAATTGATTAGACGTCTTCTTTCAATTTTTTCCACAAATTGTTTCTTATTAATAAAGTTAATTTACCATAGATCCAATGAGGTTGTTAGGGCACTAGAGCATGAGATATATGGCATAGGCTATAATTTAAGGAAGTTTCTCTCAATTACTTCATGTGGAGGGAAAGGGAGAGAAATATGAAGGGAGAAGGCACTGGAGCGTTAAGTTCATAGTGTTTCTTTTTCAACAAAGTGAACTATCCCTATATCTTTAAAAGTATTACATAGAATATGTAAAAAAAAAAAAAAAAAAAAGAACAGAAAGCTTTAAAATATCCAAATGGTCAAAAAAAAAGGAGGTAAAATAATTGGGTAGAATGTGCTTATGATGTAATACTAAATGCAGGAAACAAGAAAAAAAGAGAACCCCGACCTTTTCTGTAATAGCAACTGTTATGAATATAAATATAAATGGGAAAAAATCAGGAAGGATACCTAGATGCAAAGACCTCATTCTGGGAAGGGGAAGGGAAGAGGTAGGATGATGGTAATTGTTCTGCTCCTGGCTATCCCCACCTGGATATCCACCTCCACTGGTGGCCGGTGTCCCTGATGGTGTCCCTTGGTTTCACTGTTCCATTTCTCTTCCTCCTTTCCCATAGTCAACTCCTATCATGAATTTGTGCGTGTATCTAATTTGCATATTCTCATAGTTGAACTACAAACTCATACACCTGTTAAAGATAAAATGTTTTAAATTTTTATATAAATGTCATCTGACTTGATCCTTCCTCGCTTGTTTTTTTAACAAAGCTATTTCCTCTTCTGTGTTGATATAAGTAAGTCTAGTTTATTCATTAGAGTTGCTATGTTGTATTTCATCCAATGCACATGTGACCATCTCCTATGTATTCCTTTAGTAAGGGACAGGAGGTTGTATTAAATTTTCACCATGTTAAACCATGGTGCAGTCACCATCCCCCAAGGCTTCTAGATGAATACAAGCAACTTTCTCAAAGCTGCTTACCTAGAAGTAGAATTTCTAACCAATTAACAAACAACTCTGGTGTTACTAGATACTGAAAATCATCCTCTAAAATGGGTGAGCCATTGAGCACAATAAAGGATTTTCTGTTTTCTTGCCCAAAGAGGTATTATTTTTTAACTGGGATCCTTGCTAATCTGAGGAGTATGAACTGAATTCTCATTGTCTTGATTTCCATTTCCCTGTTTACTGTGAGATCAAAATTTTCCTTTTAGAGATTCTTCAACTTTGCTGTTCTGTAATAATATCTATCATAAACCTTTGCCCAAGTTTCCCTGGATTTGTCTTTTTCTTATTGCTGAAGTTCCTGACAGAGTTTATATGGGTATTAACTGTTCTTTTGTTACGATTTACAGTTAAGTATGACATTTGGAGGTTAATCCAATTAACAAAGTTTAACTCTTTTTTTCACATCTATTAAAATGGTCTGTTTTTCTTCCCTCTCATTAAAATGAAGTAATTACAGTGACACATTTTCTGATGTTGAACCATCCCTGAAATTTTTACTTGTTCTTGAATTATTTTTAACACTGATTAATTCATTTTCCTAGGGTTTTATTTAATGAGTTTGGACTAAAATCTCTTCAGTGAAATGGTGCTATATTTTTCTTTTATTGAATGATTCTTTTATGGTTTCCATATCAAAATTATACCATTCTCTTTAAATCAGTAGTTTTTCCATCTTTTTCTGTTCTCTGAAGTTCATTAAAACTTGCCTAAAAGATTATTTGGTAGAGAGCAAGAAGAAAGGTGGTAGTAGGGTAGTGGTAGAGAGAGGGTAGAGTGGGTTTAGGCCTTTTCATGACCTGTTGGCATATTTGGCTTCTTGTTTCTTCCTCAATTAGCATGGTAATTTTACATTTCTATTCAATTTTGCCAGTTTTCCCTAAATTTTCAAATTTATTGGCACAAAAAACTTATCAGAACATTTTCCTAGATTTTTGAGAACATGAAACTATTTCTAATTTTGTCTCTGTTCTTTTCTTTGTGTGCACATGCTCCCCGTGTATGTTTGCACTCATTTTTACTGGTTTCTTTTTTCTTGATAAGTTCTGTCAAAGTATAATCTAATATTAATAAGCCTACTTCAGTGGAGGGTTTTGGTAGTATTTGGCTAAGATCTTCATTCCTTTTTCTGGAATCTCCAGGGTTTGGGCTACTTTTTAGCAGCATTAGCTGGATAGTTAAAATATACACTTTTTAATTGGAGTAGATTAATCTAAGTGCATTAATTATATTTCTTGATCTATTTTGCACTTTTGCCATTATAATTTATATAGTTTCTCTATTTGTATTTTGTCTTCTTTCTCCTCCTCCTCATTTTTAAAAATGTTTTTCCATTAAAAGTCTCCCTTCTATCAGTCAAAAAGTTAAATATCCTTATTTCTTTTCTTTTTAGTGCATATGGTCAAATTTTGATATCTACAATTAACTAAGTCTAATGTTATTCAAAAATTCTAGCTTGCTCCTCAATAATATAAAGACCTGCAAAGAATTTCCAGTAGCACTCTCCCTCTATCTTCCATATTATTAGGTAATATTGTAATTCCCTTAAACTTCTCCAAGTTAGTAATCCTCACAGTCAATATTTATTCAGATTTCCCGATTGCTTTATTAATTCCTTTGCTCACCCTTGTTCCTTATATCACACTTCATTACTAGTTCAATTTCTTTTTACCAAAGTGCATCATTTTGGTATATTTCAGCAAGGTCTGTGAATACTAAATGCATGGACTTGCATTCTAAGAATATCTTGGTTTCTCTCTCACCCTCGAGTGATAATTTAGCTGGACTAGAATCTTCATATTGACAGCTTTCTTTCCTCAGTGTTTCAAGGTACTCTCCACCTTCTCCACCAACTACTGTACTAATGAGAAACACATTCCCAGTCTGGTTTCTGTCCTCAGTTGACTATCTTTTTCTCGTGCAGCTTTTACATTTTTATTTGACTTGTTCTTACATATTACAAACCACATGTGTGGATTTACTGTTATTTCTCATTATTGAGGCTGATGCAACAAAAAGATTCATGTCCCATTTCAATTTTTGAAAAGTCTTGACTATTGTCATTTGAATAGTGACTCCTTTTCATTGTTCTTTTTCTTCTTTGCTTCCTGAATATGCTGTCCCTTTTCAATCCACCCTGTCTCTTAACCTCTCTCATTATTTTCTCTATTTTAATCTCTCTACTATACTTGGGTGATTTTCTCAGATCTAACTAATTTATCAGTTTCCTTTTTTCTGTATCTAATATGCTTTTCAGTTTCTACATTATTATTTTTTTTTGTATGTGTGTGTATGTGGTACTGGGGATTGAACCCAGGGCCTTGTGCATGCAAGGCAAGACTCTACCAACTGAGATATATATATATATATCCCCAGCCCCATCTACATTAATTTTTTATATCAAGAACTATAATTGGGCTGGGGATGTGGCTCAAGCAGTAGCATGCTCGCCTGGCATGCGCTGGGCGCTGGATTCGATCCTCAGCACCACATAAAAATAAAATAAAGATGTTGTGTCCACTGAAAACTAAAAAATAAATATTAAAAAATTCATTCTCTTTCTCTTTAAAAAAAAGAACTATAATTATGATTTCTATAACTTCTTCCACCTATTCCTAAATCTGCCTAATAGCTTTTATTACTCAATTTCTTTGAAAACTTAAAAAACACACTTATTCTAAATTCCTTTTCATATAACTCTATTGTTTGATCCCCCTACTAGCTGCATCTCCTGTGCATGCTGTGGTGGCCCATCACCTTGCATGGTTTTGTTTTGGGCTATAAGCCCCCCCTTTTTAAAAATTTGTTGTTTTTAGATATACATGACAATAGGGTGTATTTTGACATATATATAGGGGGTGCAACCCATTACAGTTTTGATCCAATTCTTGTGGTTAAACATGATTTGGAGTTACATTGGTCTTGTATTCATATACAAGCATAGGAAAGTTATGTCTGATTCATTCTACTATCTTTTTTCTCTGCCTCTTCCCACTCCCTTCATTCCCCTTTGTCCAATCCAATGAACTTCTGTGCTTTCCCTCCTTACCCTCCCTTGATATAGCTTAGTATCCACATATAAGAGAGAACATTTGTCCTTTGTTTTTTGGGACTGACTTAAGAGGGTCCTGTTTTCTTTGCAGACATAGGTTCCAGAGGTTTTGGACACAACTTCACAGAATTATTTCAGGTTTGCCTTTAGGAGGAAGATTTGAAGTTCAAGTTCTAGTTTTGGCTTTGCATCTCTGGATTATACAGGTTGAATGAATTTAGATCCCACATTGATGCTGGGTTTTTGAGTTTATGATGTCTCATATTTGAGAAATCAAGCTCTTTCAATTCTCTTGCCATAGTCAGACAACAAAATGTCTTGCTCTTTCTCTGGGAGAGTGTGCAATTTCTTTCTAGAACTTATTTTACAGATAGAACATCATTGTGTGACTCTGGACTTCATGTTGATAGCTCAATGACTGCTCCCCCTTCAGATGAAGCCTGTGGCTCAGACTTGCCTGTGACTCAGACATCAAATCCCCAACTGCCCAATCATTAAGTCCTTTCTTTATCTGGTCTCAATTTCCCTTGGAGTCCCTTGACTACAGTATTCCTTAGCAACTTTTACTGTGGGTTTTCTCACTGTAACTGGCACCGGGGATTTTACATTATTGATTTCCACGTGAGCTATGTAATCTTTGTGCAGTACTTTGCACTGTTATATTTCATCTAGACTTCCTGTGCTTTTAAAGGAGAGATGTGTGTGCCTTCCATGTCTGCTTAGGTCACAGTATTGGCCAGACACACTTACATTACTTTCTAATGAGAAAAAAATACAAAGAGTTTTAAACTGTGCTTAAAGAAATGTTTTATTTTAAATAACCTTTTTTTGTCTGTGCTTCTCAGTGCTGAATTTGAAGAACCACATAATTATGAGGCAACAATTTCATATCGGAGACACTCTGGCAACTCCATTAACCTGTGCACTGCAATAGAAATTGCTGATTGTAAGTCTGCTAAGCCAATTAATATTGTAACCCTGTGTGGAATAAAAATGTGTCAAAAATGGTATTTTTCCCTCTGGCAAAGTGTAAGTTAAAAAAACTCACAGCCATTCTGTTCTACCATCTCATTTCTTTTTATTTTTTGCCATGTCTGATCTCTTAAAAAAATATAAAGAAGTCCAGTTGGGCATCAGTGCTGTTTACAATTCCTATTACTGCCTTCTTCCCTCCACCTTTCCTCCTCCTCCTCCTCTCCTCTCCTCTCCTCTCCTTTCCAATTGACTTAGCTGCTTTGCTTTTTGTAGATACGTAGGAGAAAAAAAATCAAGATATAGTGATTCATATTTTTTCCTTCTCCTATAGAAACCTCATCTTTCTTTTTGTGGTGTCTTTCTTGAAGTTCCCTCATTACTCAGAACATGGAGATGGAGATAAGAGACCATGAGAATTAGGCAGTTGTGTTCAATCCAAATAGAAGAAGGGAATTTATTTAATGGATCTGACCACTGTTTCAGAGTTAAGTCTTCCCACCTCTGATATTGACAACAATATTCAAGCTTTTTGTGAAAAAAGGGAGACTCTCTTACCCTCTTAGAAGAAGCAGGGAATCTTAACATTTCTGCAAATTTAATGTCTGTTTCTGCCTAAAGAATCTCTTAGTTTTCTGCAAAATCATAAATATTAGTGCCAGAATAAACACAAGTGATTGCCAAACCTGTACTATGGACTATAGTTCTGCATTAGGTCCTGTGTACATGTCTGTAATAGAATGGTTTTATCACTCACTGTTAGAGACAGGAAACTGAAGATCAGAGGTTGAGCTGGACAAGATCATATATGCTGTATCTTGTAGAGCAACAGTTGTAAGCAAGGTCAACCTCCCTCAAAATCCCACCTTCTTTCCACAGTTTTATGCTGCTTCTCTTTCACAGAAGTGTGGCTTCTCTGGAAGGAAGGTTAAAGAGAGATCATCTGGTCTCATTAATTTATTACACAGAACAATAAGCTCGAGACTTGGGAAAAGGAAGCCATTTTCTTAGGAAATTCATGAAGGAAGAATGAGGACCCTATTGACATTTTCCTTCCCTTGCCCAGGAAATAAGAGATTAGAGAAGTACTAGAAAACTCCTTCTCTCCTCAACTGGGCAGAGTTAGGATTTTCCCTATGTTTTATAAAATGCTAGATAAAGGAGAGGAACTTCTGTACCCCTTTGCTCCCAGAAGGCAATGCTGCCTATATATCAGTGTATTGAGCATCCCATCTTGGAGCAGGGCTCTTCACTTTCTAGAGTTCCCTCAGATCTCCCAAGGATCTTGTCCAGTTACAGATTCTGATTCAGTAGCTCTGCAATGTGGCCTGAGATTTCCTGGTGATGATGATGATGCTGGTCTAGAGACCACACTTTGGATAGAAAGGCTTGGTGCCCCATTTGGGCTAAATTCCAACTGCATGCCCTTCTGCAAGGCCAAAAGGTATACAGAGACAAGGGGATGCTCCAATCAGAGCCTGTACCTTCTCTCTCTGGATCACATGAGACTCCCCTACCCTAGAATCCAGCCCTGTGCAATGACTCCCCCACTCCTGATTGGGTCTTCTCAGGAAAGACTGGGCTTCAGGGAAAGCTTTTGGGATGGGGACAGGTGGATGGAGCTTGGATTCATGCAAGGGTCACTCATGGTACAGGGTGAAGCTAAGAACCGAGTATGGGAAATGGGGCCAGAGATCTGCATTTATTCTCTCCAGGCCACAAATCTTAACGGTGAGACGTCCAAGGGACATCATTTTAGATACCCAAAGCTGGAGTCACTGAGGCAGGCCCTTGTTCGTTCTTTCACTGAAAGATCCTGGGTTGTGCATCATGAACAGGGCTCTGCTGCCAAGGAGCCGAGTATTTATGGTTGAAAATAGAAAGGGCTCAGAAAACAAGCCCCTAATCGCATTGGGAGGTAACAGAGCAAGAGGAAGGAGGGGTTGGGGAAGGGATGGTGGCTAGGGCTTCCCCTTTCAGAAGGGCATCTTTGTGGGAGACAAGAATAAATCTGCTAGGCCTGAAGAATCTGAGGAACTATAGCCTGGGATCAAAAGTGTGTGGTGTGTCCCTTACCCTTTCTTTCTCTAAAGAGCCACCATATAACACCCTCCAGGAAAACGAGAGAAGATAGCTAAGTGGAGCTATTTCACCCCAAACTGTGCTTCTTCATCTGTTTTATTAGTTTCTTCCATCCTCTTTATGCCCCTGGATGACACATGAACCTTAATTTTTTTTTCATCTAGAAATTGGGTATACTATTTTTATTGTGGAGTTTTTGAGTGTTTGATAAAATAAGACATTGAAATCTAGTGAAACCCTGCTTCTAGGAAGATGGAGCCCATGTATTTCCCCCCTTCCTTCCTGCTAAGTATAGTTTTAAAAATGTGGTCATTATATATGTATAAAATATATGAAAAATAAACATAAGAAGACAAGAAGACTCTGAAAGGTAGAAGAAGATGGACATTGAGATCAGTGAAGGAGGATAAGGTGGTAAGTTTCTTAAGTTTTCTTCTTTCAAAAGCTGGAGAAAGGTAAAATTGTCTAGGTGTGGGAAGGTAAAATGTTTCCAGTCAGATTTGATCCAAATAAGACTACAACAAGATATAATTAAACTGTTAAAATCAAAGACACAGGGGATTCTTAAAACAGCAAGAAAAAAAAGTAAATCACAAAAAAAGGAGCTCCAATATGTCTAGCAGTGGTTTTCTAAGCAAAAACCTTACAAGCCAGGAAGAGAATGGATTGAAATGAAAAATTGTGAGGGGAAAAAAAAACCAAAAACAAAAACAAAATTACCAACTAACAATACTTGACCCAGTACAGTGTCTTTCAGAAGAGAAAGACTTTCCCAGGCAAATAAAAGCTGAGGAGATTCTCCACCACTAAACTTGTCTTACAAGGAATGCTAACGGGAGTTCTTCCAGCAGAAAGGACACCCATTAGTAACATGAAAACATATAAACTTAATGGTAAAAATTTACTGGTAAAATAAATGCACAACAAATTCAGAATTATCTAATACTGTAATGGTGGGGTGTGAATCACTTTTATCTTTAGTATGAAGGTTAAAAGGCAAAATGACTAAAAACAACAATAGCTATAACAATTTGATAGAGGTGTGGAATATAAAATATGTAACTTGTAATAACAAAAAAATCAAAATGTGAAAGAGTTAATAAAATTAAGGGACTTTTTTGGCAATCAGTTATAATGGAAACAATATGAAATTTATGAAAAAAAATAAAAACAGAACTATATGATGCAGTATTCCCACATCTAGATTCCTCCAAAGGAAATAAAATCAGTATGAAGAAGAGAGATCTGCCTTCCACGTTCATTGCAGCGTTGTTCACGATAGCCAAGATATAGATCGACCTAAGTGTCCATCAAGAGATGAAGAGATAAAGTAAATATGTAATATATTCAGGATGAAATGCTATTCAGCCTTAGAAGGAAATTCTGTCATTTATGATAATGTGAATGAACCTGGAAGACATTATGTTAAGTAAAATAAGCCAGACCTGGAAAGATAAATACTGCATTATTCTTGCTTATATGTAGAATCTACAGTGAGTCTCATGGAAGCAGAGAGTATAATCAATGATATTCCCAGCAGCAGGCGTAGGAGGAGGTCAGGGAGACATTGGGTCAAAGGAAACAAAATTTTAGTTCGAGAAAATAAATTCTAGAGATCTACTTTACACTGTGGTGACCATAGTTAATAACAATACATTGAATACTTTAAAAATGGTAAGAGTAGATTTTAAGTGTTCTCACCTCAAAAAATATAGGAGATAATATGTTCATTAAGTAGTTTGATTAAGCCATTTCACAAAGCATTTGCATACCAAAATATAGTGCTGTGTATCCTAAATATATACATTTTTTACTTTTTAATTAAAAAATCATAAAGTAAATATCTCAAGCTGCAATCTAAGATCTTACCTAAAGTACATAGAAAAATAAGAGCGAAGTAAATCCAAAGCAGATAGCAGAAAAGAAACAACAAAGATAAAAGAAGTAAATGGAATTAAAATAAGAAAGATCAATGAAACCAAAACTTTGTTCTTAGAAAAGATCAATAAAATTGACAAACCACTAGCAAGACTGACAAAGAAACAAAGAAAAAAGATACAAACATCAAAAATGAAACAGGGATATCATCACAGATCCTGTAGACATCAAAAGAATAATAAAGGAATATTATAAAGAACTGTATACATATAAAATTTGACATTTTGAGGTAAAAATGGAGTAATTCCTTTAAAAGCTCAAACTATCACCTCACCCAACATAAATCATTTGAGTAGTCCTGTAACTCTTGAAAATTGATTGCATAATTTGAAAAATCTCCCCCTCCAATTTTCCTAGTCCAAGTGACTTCACCAGAAAAATACTAACATTTAAAGAATTATATACCAATTCTATGTGATCTTTTCCAGAAAAATGGAAGAGAAAACATTTCTTGATTTATTTTATAAAGTGAGTATTATCCTGATACAGAAACTAGACAAAAGCCAATTAAATAAGAAAACTTCATATTCTTTATGAGTTTCATAAAAATCCTTAACAAAATATTAGCAAACAGAATTCAGAAGATTTTAGAAGGAATTGCATGCCATGACTAAAAGTGTCTTATTCCAGAAATGTAAACTGGTTCAATACTGAGAAGTCCATTCACAAAATCTACCATATTGACAGATGGAGAATAAAAATCATATAAAATCTATGCAAAAAATGGATAAAATTCTACCCCCATTCATGATACAAAAATTCTTGAAAAATTAAGAGGGGAATGTCCTCACCTTGATAAAGCACATTTACACACACACACACACACACACACACACACACACACAAACAAACAAAAAAAAAAAACCTACAGCGAAGCATGATGCTTAACCACAAATACTGAAGGCTTTATCCCCAAATTGGGAGCAAGGCAAGAATAGCCTCTCTCACCACTCCTATTCAACACAGAGCTGAGAGTTGTAGCCAGTAAAATAAGGTAAAGCAAGGAAATAAAAGACATTCAGATCAAAAGTGAAGAAATAAAAACTGCCTTTCTTTGGAGTGACATGATTATCTAGGTAGAAATTCCTAAGGAATTTACAACCTCCCTTTCCTAAAAATCCCTCCTAGGGACTAATAATTGAGTTCAGCAAGGTTGTATGATACAGTTTTATTTTTATATCTTAGCAGTGAACACGTGGACACACTAAAATTGAAAAATACAATACCTTTTACAATGGTTCAGAAAAAAGACAGACTGAAATCTAACACAGCATGTATAAGACATAAATGCTGAAAACTGTAAAATTTGGATTAAATAAATCAAAGTGTAAGTGAATGAAAAGACATATCCTGCTTTTGGATTAGAAGACTCAATACAGTAAAATTGACAAGAGAAAATTTCAATTCTCCCCTCGAGATACACAGGTTTAACGCAATTGCAATAAAAATCCCAGCAAGATGTTTTGTAGAAATAGACAAGATTATTCTTAAATGCATATGGGAAAGCAAAGGAACTGAAACACCTAAAGACAGTTTTGAAAAAGAAAGATAAGGAAACATCAGTCTACCCAGTTTCAAGACTTACAGCTACAGTAATCATGACTGTGGCATTGGCAGGGAGACACATAGAAATCAATGGTAACTCAGAAATAGACCTATGCCAATATGACCACTTGATTGTTTTCTTTATGAAGATGCTAAAGCAATTCAACAGAGGAAAGATAGCCTTTGAACAAAGTGTTGTAGCAACAGAATATCCATAGATTAAAACAAAAACAAAACAAACCTAAACCCTTGAGCTAATTTTTACACCTTATCCAAAAGTTAAATGAAAATGAATCTTTCTTCCTTGACTTGTCCACCAAGGAAGGTGAGGAATCTAAATGATATCTTTAAATAGCAGGAGAGGATGAGGTGTTTGGCTTTTACTATCACCACTGAGCCCAGCCCTGCATGGGGCCTTTGTGAGTCTTGCCCATCCTTACAGAACTCAGCCTCCGGTGTACAGGCTTCTGGTTATTCTGGAAGCTCTCAGAATTGTCCTCAGAGGTCACCTGGGCCAGTGCTTTCTGGACTGTGCTTCTGAGACCCCAGAGATTCCTTCAAATGATGAAGTTCTGATTATGTTCCTGAGTAATAGTTCATTTAAATAAACAAATCCATGATTAGAAGAAAGTTAAGTCATTTCCAAATTGAGTGACCTGGGGCAAGTTATTTTACTTCTCTGTGTGTTCCCCCATAAGTAAAGAAGGAGTATGAGCAGCAATTGTCATAAGAGTTGAATGGAATAGTGCACTTAAATACTTAGCGTAGTGCCTGCTAGCTATATGCATACAAATGATAGCTGCTTTTTATTATTGTTTTTATAATATTAGAAAGAGTCATCTCATCTACTGGTCTAACAGAGTGAAGGGACTTTTCCAAGGTCACACGGGAAGTTAGTACATGTAGAATTAGCTGTTGGCCTCCCAGACATGACCATGTTGTGACATTAGTAGATGGAGGGTGGCTAAGGACCCTCTTCTGACATTTGCCCTTCCTCTGCCAGTCAAGGCAAAGCTATTCCATGGAGAGACAGTTCTATAACTCAGTATAGAGTGAGCCAGGACTGGGCTTGAGTCATATCCCCTTGTTAAATCTCCTAGTTCTTTCCTGACCCCTTGGGATACAGCCTTTTTGTACCTTGGAGTAGGTTTGTATTGCATAGCGTACTATTGAAGAGTCCCTACTTTGTTAAAATATTTAACATCATGAATATGTTTTCAAGGGAATGTGTATTATCTCTGTTTACTAGACATAGCAATTAAGGTGTCTCTGAGCCTTGGTTTCATAGTTCCTAAAGCAGAATAAATAGTATTTTCTACCCCTCCAGGTGGCTAGGGAAAGCAAATGAAATCACAATTTTTTCTTTAAAAAAAAAACAGATAAATAAATTGAAGGAGATTATCATTTTTTAAATTTGTAGACCAAATCCATACTAGGAAAAGATATGGGGCAAACTGTATCGTAAGGAGACTTTTTTTTTTGGTGGGGGGGGGGGTACCTAGGAATTGAACCCAGGAACACTCTGAACACTGAGCCATATCCCAGCCTTATTTATTTAACACAGGGCCTCACTAAGTGGCTGAGGCTGGCTTTGAACTTGCAGTCCTCCAGCCTCAGTCTCCCAAGCTCCTGAGATTGCAGGTGTGTACCACTGTGCCTGGCAAGGAGATTTTTTTTTAAATTTTTTTTTTTTTAGTTGTAGATGGACACAATACCTTTATTTTATTTATTTATTTTTATGTGGCACTGAGGATAGAACCCAGTGCTTCATATGTATGAGACAAGCACTCTGCCACCCCACCACAATCCCAACCCAGCAAGGAGATATTTTTTGAAAATATTAATAGTTTAAAATTTTAAATCGAGGAGTGACAGAATAGAATTTTTTTTCATTTAAAAATCAGTGAAAATTAAAGTGTACCCAATATGAAGTACATATTACTAATTATCCTTGCAGAATTTTAGGTCAGTGTGACAAGAATCATGTGCTGACAATTCCTAAGGAAAACCTGGATTCCATTAATTGCATTATGAATTATGTGTTTGCAAAAATGAAAGCTTAGAAATACAACATGTTGTTTGGTCAGCTTTAGGATTCTAGCAGCAAGAAAGAAATGAAACAGAAGTCCTGCTTGTCACAAACACATTCTTTAATAGCAGAGGAAGAACTTGCATAAATAACTTCTAAGCAAAACAAAACTAAAAATCCCCCAAATAAGCAATTTTGTGAAAAAACACGTCACTTTTTATAGAACCCCTGATGTTCTACTAAGTAGGTAACATCTAATATCATCCCCTTTAATTTCTTCATGAACTTGGTACCAGTTTGCCCAGTTTCACAGATGGACAAGGTAAGGCTCAAAGAAATGAAGTAATTTGTCTGAAATCCCCCAGGTAGGAAGTGGCAGGACTGAATTTGAACCCAAATTCTTGTCATTACTTATATTTGTTAATACAATTATTAAGTGTCATTTAAATAAATCCAAAGAGGTATCAGAAAAATCAAAAGATATTTGAGCCTTAATTGGCAGGCTCCTCTTCAAGCAGTGTTTCAAAAATAGTCCACTTTGGGACATAATATGAGTTCATTTTGTCAAAGTGGCATTTAGGCACTTTTTTCTTTCAAGTTTGCCTTCTAAAGTGCTACCTTTAAATTTCAGTGCTTTCTCTTAGGCATGGACTATATATCTATTTAGTAAACCAAGAAACTTAAAATGGTTCTGTATGCTTTTATCAACTATAAATTCCATGTTAGAAATTCCCACAGAAATTAAAACCATGATCGGTGACCCTAGAATTTCCCAAACTGTGTAGACAGAGCCTCGTATAGATCGATGCTCTGAAGGTTGATATAACTGAACTTTGCCATCTTGCGTCATTGCTTTAATCATGAGTACTGTAAGAAATGGCTGGGCAAACTGACCTGAGATAATTTTTTATGTTATTTCAGCAACTTATGAAGTTGAAATTGAAGAACTCCAAAAGGTACAGTTTCCTCTCTCCTTACCACTGTGACAATTAAGAGTAAATGAGTCTGCAAGGTTGATTCTAGAGCACTTTCTTTGGTGAAAGTGAAGGTCCTAGTTTTTGGTTTTACCCTTTGTCAGGCTTTTCCAGAATCCAGTGGCTAAGGGAAGAGTCCCTTGGCCAATCCATTTCTTTATCTTGTGTTTTTGAGAAATTGTCCAGATCCCAAGGCATACTTAGGGGCTCCTGTTGGGCATGGTAACAGGTGCCACCTTAGAGGTGATATAGCATTTGATGAAGGCCATGCAGAACCAGAGTTCCTGGCTTTGTGATCTTGAATCTCCATTGCCTCACCCATAAAATGGTGATGATAAAGCACCCACATCTGGAATCCTTGTGTGGATGAACATAAGGTAAGTATCGGTAAAGAGTTTGTTAGCAAGTCTCTAGAACAGAGCATTCACCTTAGTGAGCCTCAGTTGTGTCCTCTATAAAATGGAGTCATCCATCTCCCTGGAGACAGGAAGCATATGCCTTGTTACTGTATCTATAGTAGTAGATGCCCAATAAATAAATGGAACTATACTTATCTCCCTGAATGGGTGAGGGAACCAAGTCAAAGTGTGTAAGCACTCAGCACAGTGCCTGGCTCACAGTGGGTGCATACCTAGTGTCTTCATGGTGCCAGTTAATGTCCTATCTTGTCCTTACAGTATTCATTTAGTCTACATCCTTTATCTCTCTTTCTTGGTTGTCTTATACTTTCTGATGAGGATTATTTATTTGTGGGTACATTCTGTAGCTAGAAAAATACAAATGACTATCATTCTTATGAGCAAGTAGAAGCAATCTATAAAAGTGCTTCACCTAGGCCACACAGTAGTGTATGCCTGTACTCATGGTGACCTGGGAGGCTGAGGCAAGAGGATCGCAAGTTTAAGGCCAGCTTAGGCAATTTAATGAGGCCCTGTTTCAAAAAAAAAAAAAATAGGGATGTAGGTCAGTGATTGAGCACCCCTAGGTTCGACACCCAGTACTGGGAAAATAAATAAATAAAAACTTCAGCTACCTGGTAACATCAACATATGACAAAACACCCTGCATAAGAGAGCCCTGCATATGACCAAGTCTCATAGCTTTCAAGTTAAAAGGCATGAAAGTATTTTTAGTTTTTAACCCTCAGATATGGTTTACATTCATCTCTATGTTTAAGCTTGGTGAGTGGCATCTGATATCATTGTTTTTGTTTGTTTATTGTTGGCTCTGGGAACAGAACCCAGAGCCTCATACATGGTAGGCAAGTTCTCAGCCACCGAGCCACATCCCCAGCACCTGGTTTCATCCATTCTTAGTGCCTTGGAGTAGCCTTGACTGTAGGGTCAGTGGACACAACTCAGTCTCTTTCGAGAAGCTCCGGGCCCTTGGAGAAGAGCTTGTTGCCTTCATACTAAACCACTGCAACTCTGCTGTCTGTAATTGTTTTCTTTCTGACAATTACCATTTCCATCTGCTGTCAACACCTCTGTGTCTTTCATCTGGCCAAGACCCTGTACCAAGGCCCTGCTGTGAGCCAAGCACTTTTGCATATGTGGTAGCACTATGAGCTAGGATCACTGCTTCCATGCTACAGATGGGACCCTGAAGGCTTGAGGAGTTAAGGAACCTATAAACAATGTAGCAAAGGTGGAAAACAACCTCCATCTAACTGGTCCTCCTGCCAGTGCTAGAATTATATATAAAATCAGAACCAGCAGGCCCTGCATGAATGCCTACAGGGCTCTCCTCAGAGGAGCACACATGAGCTAGTACACCTGGATTTCGTGGTGGCATTTCAGATGCTTATTTTCCGTTTTCTACAGGGTTCTTGGAGATTCCAAGTAATTTATGGTATCAGTTATGTGACCACTGAATAAATGAAGGTCTATATTGTTATTAGTGGGACATAATTTTAATGGAGCCAAATCTAGATGAGAGAGCTGAGTTTGGGCCAGAGGGTATGGTCAGTCAGGAAGCAATCCCAGCGTTCCTGGCACACCTGCCTGTACCAATGGTGCCCACGGAAACCCTGCTTAAATACCACAAATGCATATTTCCTCACATAATTCAGAAGTTCTTTATTTTACAACTGCATCCCTAAAAAGGTTTACAGAGAACACTTTAATTTTCCATCAAATCCTGCATCCCCAGGCATGCTCTGAAAGCTTAGAATGCTTATTTTCTTTTCTGATTGATCATCAGCCCCGCAGGCAGTACTTCATGAAACTCTCCGTGATACACTTTGTGGTGATTGACTTCCTTGGCTCTGTACTGAGCTCATGCCCCTGCCCCCCACCCTTTGGTCCAGCCTCCTAATGATCTTTAGCTGTACAATAGAACCTAATTTGGGTGGATTTATGAAAAAAAAAATGACTTATTTTCCTCTGTACTTTCAGCCTTGGAAGAGTTTTCTCCATCAAGAACTTAGGTGAGTTTTTATCTTCAAAAGGAAAACATTGATTGGCCTAGCCACTGACCCTCTCATGACTAAGCTAGTTTTCCTCTCTGGGCCAGCTGGGTCCTGGGCCTGACCTGCCTCGGTTTCCTCTTGAAGGTATCTGGTTACAATAGGGGCTTGGTTATCCTATCTCTCTCATTCCAGCCCATGCTGCACACACTCAGCAAACTAGTTGATAGGGCAAAAAGGAAGAATTGAAATCAGGTTGTCATACAGCACAGAAGGCCAGGATGTTAGGGCAGCAGAAACTGTGACTGCTTGGGAGAATCAGGGAAAGATTCTCAGATAAGACATTGTAGACAAATCAAGAGGGTCTTTTTTTTTTCTTTTCTTTTTTTTAATGGTGTCTTATAGTTGTATATATTGATGGGATATGTTGTTATATATTGTTTGTTATATATTATATATTTGTTGTTATATATATATATATATATTATATATATAATATTGTTATATATTTGTTGTTATATATATATATGTTATATATATATTGCACACAATATCAAAACACAATTTGGCCAATATGACTCCCCAGCACTTCCCCCCCCCCCCCCCCCTATCTCCTACCCCTCCTCTACTGAATTCCCTTGGATTTTTAGGAGATTTATGCACTTTCTTTTCCTTTTCCTCTCTAGCTTCTGCATAGGAGAGAAAACACAGGGCCCTTGATGTTCTGAGTTTGACTTATTTTGCTTATCATGATGGTTTCTAGTTCTGTCCATTTTCCTGCAAATGCCATGAATTCATTTTTCTTTATGGCTGGGAAAAAAACTCCATTGTGTATATATACCACATATTCTTTATCCATTCATCTTGATGGACACCTAGGCTTGTTCCATAGTTTGGCTAATGTGAATTGTGCTGCTGTAAACATGGGTATGCATGTATCACTGTAGGAAGACGCCTTTAATTAAGAAGGATCTTGTATTTGTCAGCAGCATAAGATGAATACAGCATGTCTGAAAAAATAAACAACTAATGAAAAAGGAGAGTTGCTCAAAAGGGGTGGTGGGTCTTGCTGCAGTCTGGCTGGGCACAAAATCACCGAGCCACCACAAAGCCTTGTAGATTCAAACAGCAACTCCTTATTCCCAAACTCTCACCGACCTCTACCCACACTTCCCGTGAACACCCTGCCTCCACTCGGCTCCGCGCACCAATTCTCTCAGAACCCCATGAGAACTCAACGGGAACTCCAAAGGAGCAGGCGCCTGAGGCAGCAGGATACGCCCTAATCCCAGCAGGATCCGCCCTAATCCCTGAGCAGGGTCACCTTTCAACCCAAAATGCCATGCGTCATTCCTACTTGGCTATGGCTCTCAGCATCTTCCCCCTTCTGTTTAATTAAACAACAAGCAATGTGGCTTAGGGACAGTGCCTGTTAGGTTGTCCAATTCAACATATGGTCCTTACCCGTCATCGGATGAGCTGACCTCTAGGCGTCAGCCTCCTGTCTTAGGTTGGTACCACTGCAATTGGATCATACCCGTCACTGACTACCAGTCCAGCATAACAGCCATACTTGTGGATAGGCCTATGCACCAGTGGGGGGGTGAGGTTCTTTGCCTCACCTCTGTTGGCCCCCAAATTTGGCCTTTGCACCAGTGGGGGGGTGAGGTTCTTTGCCTGACCTCTGTTGGCCCCCAAATTTGGCCTTGGTGCCAGTGGGGGGGTGAGGTTCTTTGCCTCACCTCTGTTGGCCCCCAAAGTTTAGACCATCACTAGCAGAAGGGAGGAGGATACCTGGACTGTGATTTAAGCTAGCTGTCTGCAGAACTTACCTGGACTGTGAGTTAATCTATTGAGACACTGCTTTATCTGGATTCAGACAACAAACTGTATCTTTGCTAACGGTGTCATTGCTGGTATAATTTTTCCAAGGGCTTCTTGCATGGAGCCATCAATTGGCTTGGTATTGTGGCATTTTGCATCTTCCCCTTCTGCTTGTAGCAGATTATTTATGGTGTTTGTGTAAAAACCACTATGGTCGTTATTTAAATTAAACAAAAGGGGGAAATGTTAGGGTCTGTAAACAAGTCAAGATGGCGCCTGGCATTTTGCAGAGGGAGTGGTTTGTGAAGTAACACCAGCGAGCCATTAAGTGTGGAGATTCCTTATTGGTTGACTGCTGTTTCTAGTTTATGTTAATTAAGATAAGCTGTGTGGAATGTATATATACCCCTCCTGTCCTACAATAAACGGCTCCCACTCCTGCTGTATCAATGTACACAAGTTGCTCGTCACCCCCCGGTTATTTTGCTGCAGCCGGACTGCGGCAGGGTCTGGATAATTATGAATCTAGACTTGAGCAAAACTGGGGGGAAGAAGCAAAGAGAGATGGGATTGGAAAGAAATTTAGGAGCCAGGCCTGGGTTTTATCCTATAACCCATGAGGAGTTTAGTGATTTTAAGCAGGAATTGACATTCCAGCATTGATTGGAGCAGGCAGGAACTCAGGGAAGCTGTCTCTATGGTTGATCTGATCCTGTCCCTCCTTATTAAAAAATAAAATAAGTCTTTCAGTTTTCTCCTTTAATTTAGGATTGAGCTGCCATCTGACACTCTAATCTCCACTTTTTCCTTCGTGTCTGTTTGTACTTTAGCCCTAAACATGAAAATCCAGATAGAAGAATGAAGGAAAAAGGGCCGTGTGATCTGGAGCCTCAAACAGAAAAGGATCCACATACAAACAGTCCTTCCAAGGTATCTGTGTCGAGGGTTCCTGGTCAAATGACACAATTCAGACGTGCAGAAGGATCTGCTCAGGGTGGGACATTTTAGAGACTAAGACAAGAATCAGAAGGTGCAGTGGGTGCTGGACTTCTTTGCCAAGGAAGAAATGTGTGAAAACACTGAGCTTCGCCCTCAGCTTTCCACTTATGATTCAGGAGGGAGGCCTCCGCAGGGCTGCAATGAGAATGGGACCAGCAAGGCACCCAGGGCACAAAAGGTACAGGCACTCACTCTTGGGAACCATCTCTTAGTCCATTTTCTGAACCTATAGACAAAATGCCTGAGACCAAGGAATTTATAAAGTGTAGAGGTTTATTTGGCTCATGGTTCTGAAGCCAGAAGTACAAGAGTAAGACACTGGCATCTGGGGAGGGCCTCATACTGAAGCCTCACATGGCAGAGGACATCATGTGGGAGACAGAACAAGCAAGTGCTTTGGTGATAAAGCCACTCCTTTTAGCCCATGGAGGCACCCAGTTCCTTCTCAAAGCCCCCACCTCCTAATATGGCTAACACAGGGAGGTGGGGATTAAGTTTCCAGTACATGAAATTTGGGAGACACATTCAAATGCTGCTTTTATAACATCCTAGAACAAGGACTTCCTTAAATTCTGTGCCCCATGTCCCTGCTTAGAAGAGTGTTTTCATTTCTGAGTTCAGTCATCTCATCGGAAAAGGCAGGTTTGGAATCCCTCCCAAGCTCCCATCTCCACTCCCATCCCAATTCTACCTTGTTTGTGATGGGGGGGAAAAAGGTGCCTGCAAGCACTTGGTAAGACAGAAGATAGCATAAAAATGAAATGTTTCTTTTATTAATATCAGACCTGTAGCTGTTTGGTTGACCACTCCCCCTTCATAGCAGCTGGTGTGGAGGGAGGCTTAAGCAACAGATGCCACCAGGGTGACTCCAGGGCTCAAAACATTCCAGATGTCTGAGATGGGCCTGTCTTTTAAAATCAGGGTACCCCAGCACCATCTGCAGGGCTAGGTTAATCAAACAGCATGTTGGCATTGTGAGCCCAAACTGGTATGTAGGTGCAGAAGGTATGTTGGGTGTTTAGAGAATATCACTGAGAAGCATAATCCATAGAAGAGAGGCTGAGTCAGGAAGGTCACAAGTTCAAGGTCAGCCTCAGCAACTTAGTGAGATCCTCAGCAACTTAGCCAGCCACTGTCTCAAAATAAAAAATGAAAAGGAATGGGGACATACCTAAGAGCTAAAGTGCCCCTGGGTTCAATCCCCTGTACCAAAATAATAATAATTCAAAGGATGGAATACGTCACTGATTAGAAAAATACAGGGTCTGGAGTCAGGGGAATAGCATTGGGTGTCAAGGCCAGAGGGAAGGGTCAAGGCCATAAGTAAGTGTTGAGGCTGGAGATCAGGGAAGGGTTGATCAGGAGCATATGAGAAAATCAATATGAAATCCAAGGATATTGACTATGAAAAAGCAGTAGTGTGCCCTTTTTCAGTGCTAGCTATGTGAAAGGATCCAGGTGTAGGGTCAGGCTACCACGAAGGAATCACTTCCCGCTTTTTTGGTGGGGGTGGGGTAGTGGTTTACATTTTTAAATTGTTACAAGTTACTGTTTTGTTAGAGGTGTGTTAGATGAACAAAGTGGGCAATTTAGCTGGATAGTATCCTTTGGGGGTCAAATATAAATGATTAGGCAGTAGATACATAATCCATCATGATTCAAATTGCCTCCTGGGAACATTCCCACAGACAGCCCTAAGAGAATTAGTGTGCTGCTCTTCAAGGGACTGTGTTGGAGGACCATGGTCACTGTGTCTGTGTAAAAGACTGACTTCATTACTTTCCTATTAAAATGACAGGAAGTTAAGAGAATCCCCCTCCTTTTGTTCTTCTCATAATTTGCTCATGATCCCAACAAAGCTCAGGATAATTCATGCTTTCTATCAATTATTTGGCTTTTTCTCAGAACTTTCAAATGTGTTCTCATAGTCAATGCCCACATCCACTTTCTTGTCATGGGAAGGATGCTGATCCCTCTCCCTCTTCATCTGACAACAGAAAACAATGAGGTGGCCAAAAGTGTTCTCTCCCTAGTGTATTTTCCAGCCAGTCTATCCAGATCTTTCTGAAATATGAATCTGATCAGGTTTTTTCCCATAGCTAAGAAATAAATCCCAAATTTTTGTCTTGCCTGTAGGACCCTCAGCTCTCCCAGGTGTGGCTTCCTAACTCAGCCTCATTCTCTTTTTCTACCTCCTCATCTCTCTTCTCCTGTCTCCTCCCCTTTCCTTCAGCCCCTCCCCTCCGCAGCTTCTGTACTATCTTTTAAGGACACTAGCACTTGTCCACATACTGCACACCTTCGCTCACGCTGATTATCTGCCAGGTGTCCCTTTACCTCCTCCACAATCTCCTACCTACATTTTAAAAATAGTTTAATAAAATCCTGCTTTATGACATCTTCCCGGCCCCTCCCTGTGCTGTTTCCATGGCCGAGAGCAGTTCTGACAACGCTGCTCACATCGCACCCTAATTGGCTGTGTTATCTCCGTACTCAGCAGGCAGGCCCCTCTGTGCCCTGCATCTCTCTGCTTCCAGAGCTTCACGGATTGTCTCACCTTTAGGAAGTGTCTGACCAACTCTGGAGAAAGGAAGGGCAGAGAGGTTAAGAAAGAAGAATGGTGGATAGAAAGACAAAATGTCAAGGAAGATATCCCAGCCTCCCTCTGTGGTCCAGAGCACAGGTCCTGGGGTCAACCCTGCCACAGTTGATTACTAACTGGGGGCCCAGAGACCTGTTACTTAACCTCTCTAGACTCTTTATCAAGGGGACTGATAATATTTCTCTCATGAGATGTCAAGATGGTTATATGAGATGGAATATACAAAGAACCTACAGTGTGGTTGGTGCCGGGCTCCCAGGAGTCTGCCTCTGTGCCAGGCATTTACATTCAGAGACAAATAAGGACACTGTGTGCTCTTACCTAGCACTAAGTAATGAATAGTAAATAATAGTTATCTACAAGGAATGACTGAATAAAAAACAGCCTTCAGAAGCAGACAACTGATTGGAAATTTAGAGCCCTGCAGAACATGTCCTGTTCCATATTTGCAGGTAGATATCTGTAAAGGGACACCTGCAAAAATCCAGATGACCAGAGTCCATGAAGGCCGAAGGAGCATGCCAAATGGGAAACAGGAAACCCTGACTGACATCCTCCAGACAAAGGTCTGCCCGGAGGACATGAAGCGAGCGAGTGGTGAGTGAGTTCACATTCCTGGAGTTCAATTGTTTCATTTATAAAATGGATCATCATGTGAACCTTACAGGGGTTTTATGAGGACCAGATCTGACATGTCATATGATAGGCACTCAGCAAATGTTTATTCTTTTCTTCTTTACCTGATGTCTTAGTAACTGACTCATGGAGCCTACACATTGATGACACACTGATATGTAATAATACAGTGTCACTTGGTGATTATTTAGGTTCCATTTTACCTTCATGTTAGTCAAGACTTTTGATTGCAAATACGATTAAAGCATACTCTGTTTAATCAAAAAATTAAAGGTGGTTCACTTAGTAGAAAATCTCTGCATGGCTGGACCAGGGACACAAGCAATACCACGAGGACTCAGTATCACCTTTCTCCTCTGGTTTTGCTCCCATCTGTGGTGACTCTGTTTTCCAGCAGATGGCTTCCAGCTTACAACCTATGTTCTCTTAAACCCAAGAGGAAAACTAGAAAGTTTTATCTTCCCAACAATTGTAAGCTCCAGGATATGAGTCGAAACCCACAATTAGTCCCTGAACCAATCATTAAGTGTATGATGCTCTGATTGGCCCAACCCAGGTCATACCCCTTGGAGCTTGGGATTTTGGTTCTACCAAAATGACAAACCCTCAGATTGGAGGATTCCCCAGGGAAACAAGACAGCTACTTGGTGGTGGGGTGGGGAGTAGAATCTAGGTAGACAAATGTGTCCTCCAGCCCAATAGGCCATGGCTAGTCACTGACTTCCAGTGCTACAGCCACAATGGGAAGAGTGATTTTTCAGTGACCATGGGTGGCTCAAGTCTGCTGCCAGCCTCCCTGGCCTGCTGTACCATGCACCTGTTCCCTGCATACTCTCTGCTCTGGCCGCAGGTTGCTAAACATGTTGCATGTGTGAGGTAGTCCTCTATATGGAATGCCTTATGCCCTTTCTCCACATGCTGGTGTGTATTCATCCTTCAAGCTCTGTCCCCAAAGCCACTTCTGAGGCCTGCTTTACCTTCAGCCCACCTTCCCTGTTTCTGGTTCTCCAAGGACCGTCAATTCCTCACTCCTGTTTCCATGACACTTCAACAGCAGCAGAATGACCACATTTCCACATTAGGACTTGGGAGTTGAGCATTTCTGAGGCACAGGACCACTATCTTAATCCTGTAACCTTGAAAAATTTACTTATTTTCTTGTCCAAATGGGGATAATACTTATTTCCTAGGGCTGTTTGTTAACTGATACAAAATGTATGCTTCAGATATTAAATAACTATTAGTTGTCTTCATTTATTTTATATGTTGAAAAACTGTAGCATGTCTTACAATTCTTGGTTTATGTGTTGCCTCCCAGGATACCCTGTGAGTACCTTGAGATTAGAGTCAGTGTGTTGATTTTTTCCACATCTGTGACCCTGGCAGTGTCTGACATAAGAGAGCTACTATACAAAACTTTGTTGAGCAAAGGAATGAAGAATAAGTCAAACTTTGGTTTCTGAGACTATGGTGGATTAGACAATCTAATTATTCTCACAACTGAAGCAAGTAAAGTGAAGAATAAATTTTAAAAATATTCATAAAAGTGTCAAAGAACAGATATGAAAAGAAAACACCAGCCAAAGCTAGTGTTTCCACTGAGGGTTCTTTCAGAGCTTGAAATTCCTTGAGCTCCTCTTTACTGTGAGGTGTGCAGAGGATGGGAGGTATATCCTGGGACCTGCCCAGGTGAGTTTCATAACAAGAGACTCCTGTATAAAGTTGGGACTGCGTTCACTTCCCATTAGTATAGCAAATATCTGAGATAATAAAATTATAAGTAGGGGTTTATTTTGGCTTGTGGCAGCTGAGAAGCAAAGAGGAAGGAGGAGAAGGGGATGGGGTCCTAATATCCCCTTCAAGGGCAGTGCTCCAATGACCAGAAGTCCTCCCACTAGTTCTGACCTTATAAAGGTCCCACTGTTTCTGCATGAGTCCCCCTTTCATCACTGTGATCTAAATACCTGACAAGAACAACTTTAAGGAGGAAAGATTTATTTTGGCTCATGGATTCAGAGGATTAAGTCCTTGGTCCACAGGATCCAAGGCAGAAACATCATGGTGGAAGGGCATAGGAGAGGGAAGCTACGAGATCATGGCACCCAGGAAGCAGAGAGAGACAGGAAGGGGCCAGTAGCAGAGATAGTCTCCAAGGCCATGTCTCCAGAAACCTATCATTTTCACCACTTCCCAGCAAGACCATTCAAATTATTCATCCATCAAATGGATTAATCCATTGATGAGGCCAGAGCCCTTATGATCTAATCCTTTCACTTCTGAACATTGTTACATTGTTAACACATGAGTCTTGGAGGGACATTACACATGCAGATAATAACAACCTCCCAGTAGCACCAGGGGCTGGGACCAAGCCTATTACACAGGTCTTACAGGACACTTATCCAACTACAGCCGATTCAAAGTTACATCCAGGCTTTAAGGATGAAGAAAACCCCACTAAAATAGAGGAAGTCAAACCATTTTGACCTTGGTACCAGGTAAAGGAAAAATTTTAAAAATCTGTTACCACAAGCTGATGCTCATGCACTTCTGCAGTTTAAAATCACACTATTTTTATAATATCCACCCAAACCAATTTAATTTAAATTAAATTCTGCTTGGTAAACCTCCCAGACAACTGGTAGAAACAAACATAAATTGTCCATGATAAAATCTACTTTATCTCAGGTTTCAAATAATTCATATAATTCTTTTAAAAATTAATAGTTCATAGTCAAAGATAGCTTAATACCCAAGGAAACAACTCACAATGAGCAAAAACTAGCACAAAAACAGACAGTAGAACTAACCTGCAAGAAATTGAAATATAAAAATCATCAGATCAAATATATCATATAAGAATATAAATAGGGAATAAGCATTTGAAAAATTAATAAATTGATATAAAATGCAGTGAATAATATACATATGATTTTAGACAACTAGCAGCCAGTGAACTAAAAAAAAATCAACACAGGGAAATTCCACAGAAGAAAATGATTTAGAAAGAATGAAAGAGAAGATAAGAATCATGGAAAATAGAATGAGAAGTCTTAAAATGACATCAAATCAGAGTTCCATGAAAGAACACTAAAAATAGGAAAGAAAATCATAGGTAAAAGGGATAATTAATTTTCCAACATTATTCAGAAATACAAATTTGCAGATCCAGAAATCCTAAAGTTCTCAAAAATGATAAATAAAACAAATTGACACCTACCTAGCCATATCTTAGAGAAAGTGAAGAACACTGAAGAATAAAGTAACTCGAGTGAGAGATGATGATAGCCCAGAGGAGGGCACCACCACAACAGCATTGCTGAGATGGGTCTGGATTCAGGATATAATTTAAAAGTACAGGTGACAGGTGGCTTTTGTTTGGAGGTAAGATATGGGAGAGAAAAGAATCAAGGTTGTCCAAGACAACATCACTCTAACAGAGAAAAATTAAAGCATTCCTTCTAAAAACTGGAACAAGACAGGGATGCCCTCTTTCACCATTTCTATTCAACAGAGTCCTTGAAACTCTAGCCAAAGCAACTGGGCAGATGAAAGAAATTAAAGGGATATGAATAGGAAAAGAAGAGCTCAAACTATCCCTATTTGCTGACAACAGGATCCTATATTTAGAATACCCCCCAAAATACTCCACCAGAAAGTGTATAGAACTCAGAAATGAATTCAGCAAAATATCAGGATATAAAATTAGCACCCATAAATCAATTGTGTTCCTATATATCAATGATGAATCAGCTGAAAGAGAAATTAGGCAAACTACATTATTCACAATAGCTTCAAAAAGACAAAATACTTGGGAACCAATCTAACAAAAGACGTGAAACCTCTACAATAAAGACTATAGAACACTAAAAAAAAGAAAGAAATTGAAGAAGACCTCAGAAGATGGAAAGATCTCCCATGTTCTTGGATAGACAAAATTAATATTGTCAAAAAGGCCAAAAGACTAAATTGCTATACAGATTGAATGTTATTCCTATTAAAACCTCAATGGCATGTGTTCATAGAATTAGAAAAAGCAGTCGTGAAATTCATTTGGAAAAATAAAAGGCCCAGAATAGCCAAAGCAGTCCTTAATGAGAATAGAGAAGCAGGAGGCATCACAATACCAGACCTTAAAATATACTACAGAGCTATAGTAACAAAAACAGCATGGTATTGGCATCAAAACAGACACAAAGACCAATGAAATATAATAGGACACAGAGATAAACCCACATAAATACAGCTAACTCATACTAGACAAAGGTGCCATAAACATTCATTGGAGAAAAGATATCTTCTTCAACAAATGGTACTGGTAAAACTGAAAACCCATATGTAGCAGGATTAAATTTAACTCCTATCTCTCATCCTGCACAAAGTTCAACTCAAGGTGAATCAAGGACCTAGGCATTAGACCAGAGACCCTGTGCCTACTAAAAGAAAATGCAGGCCCAATTCTCCACCATGTTGGCTTAGGAACCGAATTACTCAACGAGACTCCTAAAGTACAAAAAATAAAATCAAAAAAGTCAATAAATGTGATGGTATCGACCAAGAAACTTCTTCACTGCAAAGAAAACAATCAATAATGTGAAGAGAGAGCCTAGAGATTGGGAGAAATATTTGCCACCTGCACCTCAAATAGAGCATTTATCTCCAGGATATTAAAAAAAAACTTAACACCAAAAAACAAAACAAACAAACAAAAAAACCCCAATCAATCAATGGGCAAAGGAACTGAACAGTACTTCACAGAAGAAAAAATACAAATGATCAACAAGTATATGAAAAAAAAATGTTCAACATCTCTGGCAACTGGAGAAATGCAAACTAAAACTACTCTAAGATTCCATCTCACTCTGTCAGAATGGCAATTATTAAGAATACAAATGCTATGGAACCAACCCAGATGCCCTTCAACAGATATATACACACAATGGAATATCACTCGAGACATAAAGACTTTATGACTTTTGCCTGTAAATGGATGGATCTGGATGGAGACCATCATGCTCAATGAAATAAGTCAATCCCAAAAAATGAAAGGCCAAAAGTTCTCTCTAATGTGTGTGTGCTAACACACAGCGAGAGAATGGGGAAGAAAAGAAGTGCGGTGGATTAGACAAAGGGGAATGAAGGGAATGGAGGGGGAATGGGAATAGGAAATACAGTAGAAGGAATTGGACATAACTTTCCTATGTTCATACGAATACACCACAGTGAACACCATGTACAACCACAAGAATGGGATCCTAATTAGAGTAAGTGATACTCCATGTATGTATAACATGTCAAAGTACACTCTACTGTTATGTACATCAAAAAAAAAAAAACTTAAAAAAATAGAATCAAGGTTGTCTCTAAGGTTTGGGTTCTAAGCAACAGAAGGGATGAAACTGATGTTTTGTATTGAGATGAGGTAGAATTCAGGAACAGCAAACTCTTGAAGAGAAATCGCGAGACAGATTTGGAATGAGATGCTTGGGCAACTGGATAGAAATGACGTGAAGGCTGACTGAGTGTCTGGAATTCACAAGAAATGTCAAAGATGAAGACATCAATATGGGAGTGTCTTTTTTAAAATGATGCCACAAACAATTGCCTCAACCAAAAGGAAAGATTGAGAAAGGAAAGTATCTCATCTCTGTGTGCAGCATCTTTGTGCTGAAGAAATTCCCTGATAACTTCTTGAGGAAAAGTGGGGCCCTCTGCCTGTATGAACTGAAATTCTTTGAGGCAGTTTGTAGCCTACATGCTAAATTATTTCTTGCCAGAGGATAAAATCTTGTTTGGTTCATTTAATTAATATATATAAGTCACTTTGCTTATTGCTTGTTTTTTTAGATAGATTACTTCTTATTTTTGATTAATAGTTTATCTCAGAAAGTGGTTCAGAATTACCCTAAATATTAACCTATGCCAACTCAGAGAGAGGTGGCAGTTTTATGGTTATGATAAATTTACAGCTCTAAGAAATAAACCAACACATACATTTGGCAGGCTAGCTACCTGTGCAAACAATCCCTAGGCACTTTTCTGCCTGACATGTTATCTTCTGGCTAACTCCATCCTTAACAAATAATAAGTGTTGATATGCTCAACCAACTTGTCTGAGAAATTTTGCTTTGAGTGAAAAATACAAGACTGGATAAGGTCATCTAGATGCAGCTATACCCTGGAGGACTTCAACATTTGAGCTCAGAGATTAACAGAAGAGAACTATCAAGGAGTGAGGAGTTCCTGATTTACTAGGGGCCAGCACTCATCATAAATATGCACTAATCCTTGTGACAGTCAACAGAAAGGTGCTGTTCTCATTATCCCCCACCACAGGGCATCGTAACTGAGACTCTACAAGGTAAACACATTGTCCAAGGGTCCTATATGCCAAGATTACCTTTCAGTTTTAGTACATGTGATTTGGGTTTTCCTGCTTGTGCGTCCACTGCCAGTGATGTATGTGATGCGTTCCTGTTGGCAGTGGATGTAAAGTTCTTCAGGGCGGTTCTGTTTTCCTAACAGGTGGGTACATGGAGGCTTTGGAGGTGACTAAAGAAACCTCAGGCCCAGGGGCCTTTAAGTCAAGTTCCCTCCCAGAGGAGACCTATGATGATGTGGAGTACCCTAGGACAGATGGGTAAGTACTTTCCTGTCATTCAGCAAGATGCACTTGATGAGGCTTTGAAGGCTCGACGAATTAATGCTTTGTTCTCTATTTCACAGACCAAAGTTGGACTTCTCCAGCTCATTTACCTCAGACAGTGGTAAGTGTGGGAGACACTTCTGAAACTTCCAGGGATCACGTGTCTTCTAGTTTATGTTATTCTCTTTAATAATATAAGTTGGATGGGTTGATGGTAAGCTAAGGGAAGTGGTCCCAAGGTGTGTGCTTGTAAGTGCAAGGAGGGCAGGTGAAGATTCTGGAAAGGGCATTCCTGTGATAACAAGAAGTTTCCTTGCAATTGCTTCCCTCCTGATTTCTTCTGATCTAGTCTAACTAGAGGATTTTTTTTTTTTTAACTTAAATGGTTTCATGGCTTCCCAGCACTTTTAGAATCCACCTTAACATGGCTAGGGGCCTTGTGACTTCTGCGAATGCTGTATTCAGCCTCCCCTTGATATCAGGCACAACAGCTTTCCAGGATTGCCCGAATCCCACCTCTTGGGGATAATGATAACAGTACCTGCTATGCGACTGATGCAAGAATTAAAGCATATTCATGATGAGTGCTGGCCCCTAATAAACCAGCAACTCCTCTCTCTTTGCCAGGACCCTTTGCCTGAGTAAGCTTAGCCAGGAATATTCTTCCTGGTGAGCAGTCTTAAAGTACCAGGGACATCTTTTTCATAGCACTTGCCACAGATGTAAGTTTATACTTATGTGGCTCTTGGATAACTGTCTTCCCTCCTAGATTATTACCTGTTTGCTCAATGTTTCTCCTGCCCCTAGAGTAATGCTATATTTTAAGAAGATATATCTGCTGAATAAGTGAATGAATGTAAAAATAATGGGGAGGTATTAGTCAAAGGATACAAACTGTCAGAATAAGTTCAGGATATCTACTGTGTAATAATCAAAACATTATGATTTCATTTAATAACAAGTATACCCAGAAATTGCTGAAAGTAGATTTTTAAAAATTTTTTAAATGTTCTTTAGTTATCAATAGACCTTTATTTATTTGTATGTGGTGCTGAGAACTGAACCCAGGGCCTCACATGTGTTAGGCAAGCGCTCTACCACTAAGCCACAACCCTAGCCCAAGAGTAGATCTTAAGGTTCTCATCACAAAAAAGTAAGTATGTGAGGTAAAAGATATGCTAAGTAGCTTGATTTAGTTATTCTGCAATGTATACGGTTAATAAAAACATGATTTGGTAAACACCTAAATATATACAATTTTTGCCAATTAAAAATAATAATTTTAAAAAATAAAAAGCAATGGAGATAATCAAATATGACTCTGGTTGGGTTTCTTCTTAGAATCTTTGACTTTTAGATGGAGAAACCACATTAGAGAAAATTATATCCAATACTGTCATTTTAAAAAGGAAACTGAGGCACAGAGAAAAGTTATGTGACCCCTTATGCTCATTATGTGTTAAGTCAAGTTTGTAACCTCAAAATTCAGACCCTTAATCCAATGTTCTTTCCATTATACTGTGTTGTCAGGGTAGAATTAACAGCTATCTGTGTATGTTAAGCTTATGTGTTACAGTGGACTAAGGCCATGCTTAGACCAGAGAGATTATTCAAGAAGTATCTGGTTTCCCATCATTTTCCCAGCATTAGGCACAGTGTCTCATGCTTAAAAGGATATAGTTTGTTATGTGTTAAATATGGGAAGAAGGGAGGGTGAAAGGAGGCAATCTTGATAAATTTACTTTCTTTTGATAAATCAGATCAGACCTGGAATCAGGGTTGGAAGTGAGTCTTAATTTTCATTTGTACATAATTTTAAAGAAGTTTAAATATTTTTATTTCATGCTTATAGAAATGTGCATAAATTCCACTACAAACTACTTAAAGAAGGATCAAAATGCCTTACACCTAATAGAAACTCAGTAACTTTTTATTAAATATTAATCTGAACAACTGTAATTATAATGAATGATAATAATTATTTTTTACTTTCAGAAGAAAATAGTGAAGAAATGTATGAAGATATCTACAAAACAAAAAGCAACTACCCCAAAATAGAGTGAGTTTCTCTTTGTTGGCTTTGTAGTTCAATGGTATTTCCTGTTGGTCCAGTAAATAAGAACTTCAACAATGATCCCTGTCCCCAGTACCCACCTTTACTAAAGGGAGGATTCACATAGAAAGTTGTGCTGAGTGATTAGAATACTACATTGTGATGAATAGGATATTTGTGATTATGTAGAATCATACACCACAAATTTAAATACATTGCTTTCTCTTGTGAGAAAACGTCTACTTACCCAAATAGAGAACATTGATACTGTATAAAGAAATAAATAAGAAAGGAGAAGTAAATATCAATAAAATTTGCTTCAATTCTGTAATTACTTTGCTAGGGGAAAAAAAATATCAATGATTACAGCTTACCTTTGCCAGTCTCTGGGATTTGAGATTAATTTAATATCTAATAATTCACTGTTTCCAAGAACAATATTTGTTCCAACGGACATTATTTTTCAAATACTTATAAAGAGCACATTGCCGAAAGGGAAATGTTAAAAGCAAGAAGTTTGAGGGTTAAAGGAAAGGGGATTGAGGTTATCACTCCCTTACCCCTCACAAACCCCAAAAGTATACTGGCAGAATTTTAATCATCAACTGGACAGTCAGTGTATCACCATTGTTGCACCATTAAGTAAGTTGAAAATCAGCACTGTGAATTTCAGAAGCCAGAAATTCCTATATTTCTAGTGCCGTTTGTAGCTTATGCTCCCGTTATCTTGCTCCATAAACTGTGCAAAAAAGACACTATTTGCGATGGATGAAAGTTTGTGCTGCAATGTAATTACTCCCTTCACGGTTGACTGGTGTCTGCTACTTCATGTTAGAATCTAAGCAAAGAAAAGCAGAGTAGTTGATAAGGCATTTTCTTTCCCTTCCTTGAGTAGGGTGTTCTGAAAATGAGACCACAGCCTCTGGTTCTCTTTACAGCAGCCTTGGTCTCTAAGACTCTCTCAAATGCCATGTTGTTTATCTTCTGATTCCTCTTAGTTTAGATGGAAAAGAAGCCCTTAAAAGACTGCAGCAATTCTTCAGAAAGGAAAAAGGTAGATTTAAAATGAAGAAAACCAAGTCAAAAGAAAACGCAAGGTAAAAGGTACCATTTTTCTCTCTTCAGAGAGGGATTAACAGTGCTGGCCTGGTAGACACACAGGTTGATGTCTTCCACTCAGTTCTCAGAGACAGGAAGGAGTGTCAGAAACTAAAACCAATGGCTGAGCGAACTGCCTGTGTGCTACTAATGAGAAAGTGGCATGCCCCTCTTGAAAAAATTGATGATAAAAGGTTGTAAACAAGGATAGAGGGAAAGCCTTAAGCAAGCAAAGCCCAGAACAGAAAATTCTGTCATTGTCTAGGCATCTACACACATTGTTATCGCTAAGCATTGTTATTAATTATGTCCTTGTATGTTTTCTTGGCCCAGGTTCCAGCAGTTTTGTCTACACTTCCATATTTAATGTGTCTTGAAGAGCAGTAATGTGTGGAATGAGGAGATGAACTATTCAACTGAAGTGTATCTCAAAAGTCTTGAACCTAGGAAGGATAACTTAGGCTAACTGCCAGTCTTTGGAGAGGTTCCAAATGCACTGGCAGTGAAAGAGACTAGGGTTCTGGATTCCAGTTTCAGTTCTGCCATTTACTCAATTTGCAACCAGGGGCAAATCACTTCCATGTGTATTACAGGGCTGCAGTTTCCTCCTGCATCCATGGAGGAGGGAACAGTGTAGCTTCCAGACACAACTCTCTCAGATGTAGGTACACATCTGTGTTTTGTGAGGGCTGGTAAAATAATTAACTAGGACCATTACCTACGTTAGGGTGGAATCATGCTATTCTATTCTGAAGTTGTTTTAGACATAATGCTCCAAACTTGTATGGTTTTAATCCAGTTGTTAGTAGGAGCTAAACCTACCAAGAGATCCATCAGAACATGGCTTTTCTATATCATAGTCCTGATTACGACAGAAAAGGTATGCTCTAGTAATTTATTTTTAGTCTCCCTTACAAAACTCTAAGCCATTTCAGGCAGAAACTGTGGATCTAATCATTTCATATACTTATCACAAGGGCCTGGTGCATGGTGGGTGCTCCAAAAATACCCATAGGGGCAAATTTAAATTGAAGGCTTAAAACACATAGGTACTTTTTTCTATGTTATCTCCTTAATGGTGAGGTGTGAAGTGCACCAAACAATCTAGCTGGGATACATGCCTTTTCTCAATTTAGAAATTCACCATGTTACATTTCTACCTGGCCTGGCTTTCTCCCTAAAAGTCCCCTTTTGGCTTAAATAACATAGGCAGAATGCAGTGTCTATACGAGTCCCATTAATTCATCGGTAAGTTGTTCTGTCTCACAAATACTTACCCACATGTAATGTGTCCCATTAGCCTCTTGGAAGGTTAGTAGATAGACACAGGATTCTGTGGATGGAGAAGCTCAGGGCTGCAGGGGCAGTCTGGAGTTGTCTAGGTAGGCAATGGAGTACTGGCCATCAGTGGGGATTCATTCATTTTGAATAGGTTTGCAGGGGGTGGGGGGGGGAGCGGGTGTGATCAGAACAAAACTGCAGGAGGTTTGCTTCACAGCTTTGCCTGGAAGCACCATCTGGATTGGGACCCCTAGTAATCAATGTTTGTTGAGCTCATTTTTTGAACATAACTTTTTTCCACTTGACCTTTCTGTGTCTTTTGTCAATCAACAGTGCATTTTCCATTTCGCTGCCTGATTTAGGTAAGTGACATTTACTTGTTGCTGACCCAAATTACTCAGCATTGGTATATTCAAGGACAGGGAAAGAAATGTGGTAATCCTTCCTTCCTATATTGCCACATTCAAGGAAAAATGGGCCCATCAAAAATCACAGAAGATATCATATGACAGTATTTCTTACTTTGGGAAAGAAAAGAAACATTTCGTGGGTAATACCTTATACCATACTTGGAAGAGATGTTTTGCTCTTAAAAATCCCCCCAAAATAGATATTTTTGTCCCTTTTTAGGGAGGTGCTAGGGATTTGTAAGCAGGTCTCTCTAACTATGAAATTCATGTATTTTGCATTATACCACATACCTCTTGGTGGATTTGATAGAATTGATTTATTATGAAATAATGAATTGAATATGATCACACTGCAGCCTGCACACTGAATCAAGAATGGGTCCTTGGACTATTGTCTGCTTTGCCATTAAAACACTGCAAAAATTACCAGTGTTAATTACTGCCTGACAGTGCTCTAAACACATGTTCAAACACTGAATTTGCCAACAAGAGGGGCACGTGTTTAGTTGTTCACTGGTTTTGTTCATGGGCTAAGATATTTGATTTCACTCCTAGTACTCTGAATGTATGTTATATTCCACAAATATGAGTTTGCCAATCTAAATAACAAAGATTATATACCTGTAAAATCACAGGTTTCCCAACATATACTCTGCGTGGTAGTGTGTTTGTGTTGGGCGTGTGTTTAAAGCCAACTTAGAATACAAATACATCCCAATTCTGACTGTTTCCTAGTCTAATCAGAAAGACTTGGGTTTAGCATCCCTAATCCAACAATAAAAAATTTGAAATACTCCAAAATCCAAAACTTTTTGAATGTTGACATGATGTCACAAGTGGAAAACTCCACACTGATCTCATGTGACAAGGTTGAAGTCAAAGAGCAGGTACATGTCACCAGGGGTGGTGGTATACACCTGTAATACCAGTGGCTTATGACACTGAGGCAGGAGGATCATGAGTTCAAAGCCAGCTTCTGCAAAAGCAAGGAACTAAGCATCTCAGTGAGACCCTGTCTCTAAATAAAATACAAAGTAGAGCTGGGCATGTGGCACAGTGATTGAGAGCCCCTGAGTTCAATCCTAGTACCCCCCCCCCCAAAAAAAGTAGGCACACTAAAAAAACTGATTAAAATTGCCTTTAGGTAGGTATATATGATGTACATGAAATACAAACAAATTCTGAGTTTAGATTTGGGTCCCATCACTAAGATATCTCATTTTGTATATGCAAATATCCCAGAATCCAAAAAGAATTGAAATCCAAAACTTCTGTTCCAAAGCATTTCAAATAAAGAATAGTCAACCTGTACCCCTACCCATATTTAAAGGTACTGAAGAAAATGATTTAAACAATGAATAATTGTAAATAATTGAATATAAATTATGATTATGCCAAAATGGCTCAAACTTTTTCAAATGGAAATCACCTGAAAATCATGTAATCCTATGTAGGGTTCCAAAGAATGTAAATATCATAAGCTAAAAAAGGTCTAATAATTATTATGTACTAAGAATCAATGTAACACATGATTATTATTATAAAGGTTGTCAATGGTTTGACTTAAAAGATTTCATGAAAGAAAAAAAATCAACATTAATATTCTACTAAATTTGTTTTTTTCCCCACTTTGGGAATTAAGAAAAGCCCTCAACCAGTAGAAATCTTCTTCCAGTTCTAGAAAAAAAGGAAACCTCTTCTAAAAATGATTCTCCCAGCAAGTTCATATTTTTATGAATTCTGCATGAAATCATATTGATATTAATACATAATGGGACGTCTCACTATTTTGTTAATACCTTAGTTGAATTTCTTTGCAAAAAATAACCTTTTTGTCCCAGCTCATCTATAATCAGATTGATAAAATAGACTCATGGATACACTCAGATAATTGGGCAATTGTGTATAATTTGGAAATCCAAAGGTTGTATAAAACATACCTAATAATGGACTATTTTGATCCTATCTTGACCCTTTAGAACTTAGGTCTCAGGAAGTTATTATCTATGATGATGTGGACATAAGTGAAAAAGAGTCAAAGTAAGTCAATTTACCACACTGGTCATCCCTGCTGCCACCTGACCCATTTCCTGATGCTTTCTTAAATACGTTCAGAGAACCACCTCTCCAGATCCATGGGGACCAGAGAAAGAATAATAGTCCCTGCACAACTAAAGAAAAATGATGAAAAGCAGGTAATCCAACAGTGGTAGTGACCCAAGAGGCAGAGGAGCTCTGGAATTTGTTTTTATTTCTTATCTTTGAATCTGGAGGCTTAGCCACATTTATTTAATAACCTATGTAGATGGTAGCATGCAGAATAGCAAAGAAAATTTGATAAGAATTAAATAACTGTAATCTATAAAGAAAGAAGGGAAAGAAACCATCCTAACTCGGTGTCCCCTCTCTAGCTAACTTGTTACCTGACTTTTCCTTCAACCAAATGGCTGGAAATGGAGGTCTCCTCTGATTTTCTTCAATTCATCTTTCCCTGCTCACTGAAATTAGACTTCTGCCTCTATCATACCAGTGAACTTACATTTTATAAGATCACTAGTAACTCCTTTGTTAAATCCCAGGAATACTTTTAAATCATTATCTTACTTGGCTTCTCAATACTCTTAAACTGTTGATTATGCCATCCACGAAAGGGGGGGAAATACTAACTTTTCCTTGGTTTCCATGTTATCGTTATTTTTCTTCTTTGCCTGCTTGTAATAAGTGTGTGTGTGTGTGTGTGTGTGTGTGAGAGAGAGAGAGAGAGAGAGAGAGAGAGAGAAATCATGCTTGAAAAAAATCGATTTCAGTGCAATTTATAAAAAGATGATGTTTTAAACAAGCTTAATGCCCAAATATACAGTAATATACAGTAATCTGCTGAATGTATTAAAATATTCAACATGGCTACTTAATATGCTAAATGTATGGTGAAGAGTTTCCAGTGACATGGAAAAACATACTATAATGACAATTAGAAACAATGCAAAACTGTATGCACATAGTATACTCTCAATTCTGTTTTTAAAAGTGGAAAAACGCTGAGAAAAAAAATGAATGTCTTTAAGAGGTTAAATTATGCTTATTTCTATGACCAAGATAAGTTACCTTAATTCTCTGATCATTTTCTTCTTTGTAAACTTTATGAATGACTAAAGGACTCATGCAGAACCTACTACGAAAAAACAAATGAGTTAACATATAAAATGCCCAGAAGACCACCTCACACAGAAGTGCTCAAATAGAAATCCTTCTAATACCCTTTCTTTTCTGGCATCCTCTTCTGCCCTGACCCCAAATGCTAAACACTGGTTGGTTTAGACTTATGTCATGGCCAAGTTTAATATTATTCACATTTTAAAAGCAAAGAAACAGGCTCAAGAGATGTGATTATAAGCAGGTTGATCTCTTGCTTCCGGTTTCAAATCTGGATCACTATAAAACACGGGGGTCAGCAAATGATGGCCTGTGAGCCAAGTGTGGCCTGCCACTAGTTTTTTGAAAATAAAACTGCAACAGTTGAATAGCTGCCATGGAGATGATGGTTTGCAAAGCCTGAACTATATACTACATGGCTTTGCCTAGGCTATCAAAATGTATTTCTAAATGACTTATTTTTCTTTAATAAAACAATTGCCCAGAAAGTACTGATAATTCCATAAATGTTTAATATTTAAGTTTTCATTTACTTGTTCAAATATTTTTCTCCTCAGAGATGAAGATAAAATAAAAACTTGGAAGCCCAAGTTTTTGGTATCAAAGGGGAAAAAAGAAAAGAAAGGTGCTGATGCATCGGAAAGGTATGAACACAAGTGCACTTGCGTTACAGCTTCTCTGCTGCAGTTTATACCTTTTAATGGGCTGGGTGACCTTAGGCAAGTCATTAAATTGGATTCAAAGATTCCTCATCATAGTAGAACTGAAAGGATTAAAATAAAAAGATTTTTAAAAGTCATGTACCATACACATTTATCCTCCCTTATTTTTGGTGTGAAGAAAGATTTCAAGTTAGCCCTTATCAAAGAATGAAAAATTTCCAGTCTCCTTTTAAGCTGTATGAACTTTCTCCCCATAAGGCATAACTTAACAGAATACACCAGTTATCTGTTGTGAAACTCGGAGAAAATCAGAAACTAGATATTACACAGTAAGCCTGATTTTCCTAAAATACAATTCTACAATTTTATTTTAAAAATTGTAAAAGAACATCTTATCAATTCAAGATCCAACTTCTTTCACGTGATGCAAATTCTCTGTTGCCCACTGGGAGAGGCAGGGTTTTACCCGACTCCAGTTAAACTGTGCTAGTGCTCTGGCTCCCTTCCCAGTTAAGAACCTGGAGTAGGCTCTAAGGGACTTTAACAAATTTCTTGGAGAAATCCTTGGTAAATAGTCAGAGAGCTATGAACACTGTATGGTATGTCTGCTCTGGGAAACCTGTCTGGAAAGTCTCACTGGGGCACCCCAAAGAAGTCACACATTGGTCTGAACCAAATCTAAGTTCAATGAATAGCAAAGGATGGCCCTTAAGTTTATTTTCTTTGGGCTTAGATTTGATGTAATTTATTTGTCCCCAGTTGGAAAGATGTATTCATAGACTAAAAAAGAGACCTTTTCCCTTAAAGTTCATACTTATAAAATGTTTGTAGAGCATAGCACAACAAAATTCCAAGAAGGGGTATATCAGCATAATTTTTGACTATGTTGATAATTACAAATAAGTTCTAAGGAAATAATTTCCTAGTTTTTTTAAATATTTTATAACTAACATAATAGTGTTTTTACTCTCAACTGAATAAACTTGAAAATGTGATAGGCTGTCATTAATCCTATAGAGGTGCCAATTTCTGTGTGTTCTTTGATCCTTTTAAAATGGTCTCAACCACAACTTATTTTACCAATAAATTTTAAAAAAAGCTTTCTCTATGACTTCAGCCCTTTTATCATGCTTTGATTAATCAAAAAGTGACAGCAAATTCTAAGAGAAATTGGCAAGGGTATCCAGATGTAAAATATGGAAAATGCAGTCCACTTTCTAAGATGACCCAAGTAGACAATGCATATGTAGGGTAAAGGGCAGCTCACAAAGCTGGGAAGGTAGATTGAAGCAGATCTGGACTTTTCTTCTGGGCAGCAGAGAGACATTGAAAGGTTTTAAGGAAAAGCAAGTGGAATGGTTAATTAAATTACTGAAAGATGGCCATGGAAGCAGGGATGCAGACGGACTTTTTAAAAGAAGGGTAAGAAAATGCTATTTCAGGCCAGAAGTACTAATAGTCAGAAACATGGCAGTGACTATAATCTTGGAAAGAAACAGATATAAGAGATACTTCAGAATAAAACTGACAGGACCTGAGTGACTTTCATTTTGTCGATATATTAAAGTCCCTGAAGCAAAACCAAACCCATGTGCAAAGCAAAAGGGAGAGCAAGGGAGGAGTCATGACCAGCTTCCGCTATATGAGCCACATTTATGTGGTTATATACCACATTTATATGCTCTAATTCTTGAACAGTTGATAAGAATTTTGCTTTATTAATTCTATCCATCTCCCCATTCAGCAAATAGGATAGTTCTTTGAGCCATGTAGATTTGTGGTTCCACAATTATGTTTGAAAAGTTGAAACCATAACCTGTAAGACCTTTACTCACTGTTTCTGGTTTCTATTAAATAATCTGAAGTTGAGTGGGAAAGTTGATAAATTTGTTTCTCTTAAAAAAATACTTAATTATGCTTTCAAGTCTAATTCAGAGAAGTTCCTTGTTTACCTTGTCTGATCAAACTTATTTTTTTTATTTTTATTTTTGACACAATAATTATATTTATGGTGCATAGTATGACATTTCAGTATATGTGTAAAATGCATAAGTGGCACATCCATCACCTTAAACATTTGTTATTTGTGTTGGTAACATTAAAAATCCTCTACTAGCTGTTGTGAAATATATGCTTAATTGTCACCATCCATACTATGCTACAGAACATTGGAAGTTATTCCTCCTATCCAATGCCACTCCTATACCCATTAACCATCCTCTACCAACTTGATTTTATTCCATATTATTTTGTGATCAAAAATATTTTTTAGCTTTGGAGATGTAGCTCAGTGGTAGAGTGGGCAGTAAGTATATGCAAGGCCCTGGATTCAATCCCCAGTACCACAAAAAAGAAAACAAAATTTATGGAACTAGAGGTATAACTCAGTGTAGAGTGCTTTCCTAGCATGCACGAGGCCCTGGATTTTATTTCCAACACCAACACACACACACACACACACACACACACACACACAAATGTATAGAATTTTCTTTTCAATAGTGGGGAAAAGTAATTAGTCTTAATTACCTTTTTCAGTTGTTTTAACAATCTGCTCTAGTGGAGGTTATGTGAATAAATATATAAACATATATGACTTCATATGAAATTATACAGTTAGTTATGCCTGAATTTGTCCTGAAATAGAATGACTTTGTAGACTACTTGCATGTTTCTTGCCAGTTTTTCTCCTAGAAAGTTCTTCAGAACCAAGATGCAAAACTTAGAAAAAAACAGAATTGGAAAAGAAGAAAAACTTTTTAGAGAAAGATTTCAGGTATGTTTTCCTCTGAAGGTAAAAATTAGCAACGATTAACTTCTTTTTGTTGCTTGGTACCAGAGATATTGAACCCAGGAGCACTCAACCATTAAGCCACATCCCCAGCCCTTTTTATTTATTTATTTAATTTCGAGACAGGGTCTCGTTAATTTGCTTAGAGCCTCACTAAGTTGCTGAGCCTGACTTTGAACTTGTAATACTCCTGCCTCAGCCTCCAGAGCAGCTGGGATTACAGGTGCATATGATGACGCTAGGCTACAAATGTGCACTTTTAAAGACCCTAAAAATTTGCTTCACCAATACTTTATTTTTATTTTTCCTAATGTATTTCTATATTGACGTGCCTTTGTACATGCTAGTCCCTTTGCCTGGAAAAACTCCTAAGAGTTGTTCTTTTTGGCACTGTTCAAATGTCATTCACTCTTCCTAGTTCCTCCAAGTCAAGTCACTCCTTGGCACATTTTCTATCTCTACTATCTATCAGTTGTTTACAACCAGGGCCTGTCCTGAACTAATCTCCCAAGTCCCTCTGGAAGGGGATTCTAATTTATCAAGTTTGTTCCCAGCCTCCAACAAAAAACTAAACTCCTGGTGCTAGTGAGTGAATGACTATACAAATAAATAAATGATAACTGAAGGGAGGGAGGGAAAGAAGGAGAAAGGAATATGTTTGACATCTTATTCTGTCACTAAGAATCCATGGAACATTATTCCATCATTCTAAAAATCAAAGAATTCTAACAATCAAATGACTACCTAACACTTTATAAATATCCAAAACTGTTTTTGAACCAAACTAAAAAAGGAATATACATAAATCTCTCAATCACTTATAACTTCCACTTAGACCAAAGCTGACTATGGTTACTACATCTAGAAATCGTGATCTGAAATTATCTACTGCAAATTGTGGTGGTGTTTTATTAGGTGGAAAACAATAATGTAGCAATTACTTGTTGAAAAGACTCCTAAATCCTATCTAGGGCTTTTTTCCCCTCATATTTTTGACTGTCTTACATGGGACAGAAATTTCATTTCCTATATATATATGTAGGATTCATCTTTTTCTGTGATGAGTTTTTGTAGTTGCCATTAGAAAGACTATGCTATTTCAATAATTTTTATCCAGCTCACATTATAAAATATTAGGTATTACATTGCTGTCAGGTATTGAGGGTATAAAGATAAATAAGACTGTCCTTTATTTTCATTTTTTAAAATAGTTTGCTAAATGTTATAATAGGAGTATATACATAGTAAACAAATTATATATAGCTGTCATAAAAGGTGAGGTGGTCAAGAGACAAATGAATATTCTAAGCAGAAAAAAAAAAACAGCACAAGAAAAATAATGGAAATATGAAAGTATATAGGGTATTCAAGGATTATCATATAGTTCCATGAGGGTTCAATAAAGGGGAGATGGAGCAATGGAGAATGATAGCATGCAAAGATCCCTGAATGTCAAGCTCAGAAATGTGGTTCATATCCTAAGGGTAATGAAGAGTTTTCAGAGCTTTATAAATGGAAAAGTGGCCTAATCAGACTTGTATTCTAAGAAATCACTGTGGACTCACAGTAAACAGTAGACCCAAGAGAGCAAGACCAGTTATTTAGATGCTATTACGTTGTTAGCAAAAGGAAATATCTTATAGCTTATATCTCTTGGTATAGGGTCTTCTTATGATTTATAATCCAAATTCAGAATACTTCTAAGAGTGGAAGAAGGCACTGAATCACATTAATAAGTATTTGTACGTGGAGATGTAAGAGTGCCATCTAGAAATGATCGGTATGTAGTATAAAGTCTAAGGGGCTACACAGAGGATTTGGGTGTTTTTAAAAAAAACGTTCTCCTTTCCTGGGTTTGACAGTAACTTTGTTACCTAACAGTATGCCTTCCCTGATTATTAAACCTATACTCAAGTTTTAGCTTTCTGTTCTTCCAGGATTCCACTCTAGTAAAATTAGACAATGGGTGCAAGAATATTTTAAAAATAAAATCATTGGTCTGGGACTGTGGGTCCAGCTGTAGAGCGCTCGCCTAGCACGGGCGGGATCCGGGTTTGATTCTCAGCACAACATAAAAAAATAAAAATAAAGGCATTGTGTTGTGTCCATCCACAAAAAAAGATTCTCTCTTTCTTCTCTCTCTCTCTCTCTTTAAAAAAATAAAATCATACAAAATGTCATACCAGCATCTTGCTATGGTTTTCTTAAAATGACTTTCCCTTTCACCACTACCTTCCTGTTATTTTCTTTCCTTCAGGGATTTTTTTAATATCTAGAGTCTTAATGGAGGATATGATAAAGTTACCTCAAAATTAATTCGGTTATTGTGAAAAAGGATGATGGCTGTGTAAGCATGGTCTGATTAGTGATTTTTTTCATTTCAGTATGACAAAGAAATTATCGTCATCAATAGAGCAGTGGTATGTTCCAGTAATTCAAGAAATGGAATATTTGATTTGCCAATAACACCTGGAGAAGAACTGGAAGTCATTGACACCACTGAACAAAATCTAGTGATATGTCGCAATTCTAAAGGGAAATGTAAGTTTTTTGGCTTGTTGCCCATAAAATTTCAATCACTATTCCAAAAAAAAAAAAAAAATTTTCTCTAAAAGCTTCAGATTAATAACAATGATTTTTCCCCTATAGATGGATATGTACTCATTGAACATCTAGATTTCAAGTAAGTAGTTTAATTTTATACTTCAAATTGTAAGTTATAAATAACATGGTGTTGTGTGCATTAGTCTCAAGGAAAGACTGCTGAATTTACTGAAATTCAGGAAAAGTTCTGAAAATTAAATATACAGCATGTTCTCTGTCCTGTAAGGAGACATTAGGAGAGACTTTATTACTGTCTCCCGAGTCTATTATCAAATTGAACACTGTATATTTATAAACATTTTAAAGCAACATGAAATTATGAAACTGGGTAAGAAAATTCCCAGAAATCTCCTCCTCACTGTTCCATTAGCCTCTACTTCAAAATGTATGTTTCTTTTTTCCCCAGGAGTCAAGGTTGGTCCAGATAGAAAGGTCAAGATCAGAAGGGAAAGACTGCACAACTGAGAAGGGGTCCTAGCAGCTTAGTCCTGCCTCACAGCAGTTTGTTTACATGTCGAAATCAGATGGAATCTGTGGAACTTTTGTTGGGCACTTAGAAGAAAAAAAACAAGAAATCCTCAACATTTAGTTGTTGGTTTGACTCTTAAGAGTTTTCTCTTTCAATATCTATTTCACTGCTGGTTTTAAAAAATGTGAAACTGTTATGTGAGCACTTGCTTAATGAGCCATGTCCAAAGTTAGAAATCAAGACTATTCAGTTGTGCAGATGGCTGGTTTGCTTCTAATATTAGTAATGTAAGCATGTGTAATTTCTAGATATTAGTTTAAATTTGGTACAATAAACTCTGATAATGAAGGTCCTCAAAATCCTCAAATTTAAGATATAATAAATAATTCTGACTTAATCTTTTTTTAAAAAATCAAGGTATAAATGTCCTTTTACTTTATCTCAAAAACAATCTGATTGATGCTATTCCTGGTTCCTTTGGGAATAGGATGCGGAAAAATAATTTTTCTTAAGTTCAACTAGTATCACTTAAAGAAGTATCTAAATATATTTAACAAAATCTAAAAAATAGATGCTCTCTTACTTTAAAACACTCTGTTGCCTAAAATAAGAAAAATTTTGTCTATACCCCAAAATTCATTCAAATAGAATTCAAGTATTTTTCACTTAAATGAAATGGAAATTGAAAAGCAGAGGTATAAACAGATTCTATTTTTTTAAATGATGTGCACTGAATGTCAGATTTTAAGACAGTTGAATGCATATGTAGAATTTATACAAGTGGCTTTATGTGCACTGAAACACTGGTGAAATTTCCCTCAGTTCTTTAAGCAGGGCAATTCTGGCCTTCAAGGATACATCTGTTCCATGGCCTCTTCCTTCATACATTGAAACTACTATTCTTATATTTTTTGCATGCTCTAATTAAGGCCAAGTTTATTCTAAAAGACAGCAATCAAAGGTATTTGTATAGTTAAGAATTTAGAGAATAGCATAATTAAAATAATATTATAAATGACATGGCTACAGGGTTAAAAAAGATGTTACAAAAAAGGTGACACTGTAGTTTGTTCTTGAAATAAATCCCATGCTCTGTCTGGTGACTATGAAGAAATCCGAGGCAAATGGAGTAGGAAGACGGCTGGGAAATGGGGTGTTTGGCCTAGAATGTGACACAGCATGCTCCAGCATGCTCAAGCTTTTTGCTCTAGAGAGTGGTGTGCCACTCAAGGGTTAAGCAGGAAGAAAATGCCAGATGTTTGGGGAAAGGGAGGGGTTTTAGCTTTTTTACCTGGTGACCTAAAGACCTGACAAGAACAATTTTAGATAAGAAAAGTTTATTTGATGATCAAGATTTCAGGTCTAGGTCCACAAGACAGTGAACTCCACAGCTCTAGGCCTGAGGTGATGCAGAACACCTTGGTGGAAGGGGTATGAAGAACAAAAGCAGCTAAGGACTGAGCAATCAGGAAGCAGAGAGGGGGTGTGCCTCTCACCACAGACAAAACACATGCCCCAAAGGCAGGGACCCAGTGACCCTCCACCTCTAGCCACACCCTACCTACAGGCCTAAAGTTACCAATTAATCCATTCAAGTAGATTAATATATTGATTAGATGAAGGCTCTCAAAAAACCAATCGTTTCCTCTACTTTCTTGCATTGTCTCACACCTAAGTTTTTTTGAGGGGAACACACCTCATATCCAAACCATAACAGGAGGCAATTACATAGATGACAACAGACAGAAAAGATTATTTTTGCAATATTCTAAGGAAAAGGTCATCAAGCCTTAAATGAGGATAGCAAGATTGAGGCACATAGTTCAGGAGCCCCATCAGAGGTAAAGGAGACATCACATCTTGGTGAGTGAGAAGATGAGTGAGAAGAGAAGGACAGTTAGGGAATAGCTCCAAGACTTCTTTTTCAGGAGATTAGACTAAGGTTGGTACAAAAGAATGGTAATTTATTTCTGCTTGGACTAGAGACTATAGACTTCCGAATTAAACTTACTACCCAGTAATGAACAATTATGGCCTCTCCTAACTTCTAAGCCAAGACCTGTTGCAGATGACACTGAAGAAGAGGATGAGTGTGGTCTGTGAGTAAGAAGTGAGTGTGAGGAAACGTGGCTATGCTGAGCAGAAATCTTTCATGCAGTACTCCTGCTCAAAGAGAAGCCACTTCACCAAACAATGAAGTATTTAAATCCTGGAGTGGCAGTGGGATGAAACCTGAACTGAGATAAAGATGGCCCTTGCATTTTTATCTCACCACAGGGTTTCTTCTAATTCAGTGGTTCAGCTCCTTTGGGTCTCAATTTCCACACTAGTAAAATGAAGCTAAAACCACTCATCTACTTTACAGCACTGTTATGCTACAACATAATTTAAGTAGAAGTTAAATTATTACAGGATAATTTAAGTAGCAATTAGGTAAATAAACAATACTCTATTAGTGTTATCATACCTGGCTTTTTCTGAATTTGAAAGATGCTGAAAACAAACACCACATTTTTAAAATTCAATTCTTAAGAGACTTGAAAGAATGGATTGGGTTTGAGAATTTCTTTTACATAGCCATAATAAATATTCAGTTTTAAAAACATTAAATGTTTTTTATAGTAGAAACCACTTGGTCTAATATAAATTTTATTGCCTAATTATTATGATATGGTATATAGGTTTTTAGAATAATTGCTTGTTTTCTATCAATACTTAATGTGGTTATGTTTATATTTCACAAACAGCCACATTCCTTTCCTTCTCTAAATCAAACTAATTTTCTCATATTATTGATCCTACCAAGTTTTCAAACCTAAACACCATAATTAACACCAAGCCAATGTTATCAGTCTCCTAGAAACTAGCATAAAGCTTCAACGAAAAGACTGAGTTTATATTTTAATTTTTTATTAAAAGATAGTAAAGATAACACCATCCTGTCAGGTAAGATATCACACACAGATTCTTAACCCTAACAGAGGCTAACACTGGCCCATTTAAAAACTGTCAGCTTCCCATCCATAATTGTGACATATACCTTAAATAATCAACTTTAAAAAAAAAAAAAAGTTTACCTTAGCTCATGGATTAGAGGTTTCAATATCCATGGTCGCTTGGCCACACTATTCTTGGGCCTGTGGTGATACAGTCCACTATCGGAGCACAAAGCAGAAGCAGCAGCTACCCACCTCACACAAAGCAGAAACAGCAGCTACCCACCTCACGGGAGCCAGGAAGCAAATAGGTTAGAAGGGAGGAAAAGGATTAGGGTCCCAATACCCCCTTCAAGGGCATACCCCTATGACCTAACTTCCTTTCATGAGGCCCCACCTACTAAAGGTTCTAAAGCCTCCCAATAGCACCTTTGACTGGGGACCAACCAAGCCTTTGGGAATCATTCAAGATACAAACTATAACATGTAGGCTGGACCTCTAGCAACCTTAATATACGCCAGCAAAATCTTTCCTTAGCACCTCCATGAAAACCCTGGTCTTCCAAGATGAGAATAGTGTCCTTGTTAACTAGGCCCTTTCCTGTACATATTCAGAATGTCTTTTGGGATGGATATATTATACGTGTGTGTGTGTGTGTGTGTGTCTGTGTGTGTGTGTGTATGCAGGAAGATAAATAGGGAGAGGAAAAAAACGAGTATAAACCTCTGGATGTTTCTTTAAACTTCCTATACTCTTCAAATTTCCAACAATAAGCATCCCTTACCCTTGCAATTTAGGAAATAAAGGGAAAAAAATCTTTACTTTAAAAAAATACATTTTTTCTTTAAAATGTAGGAAAACTAAAATCTTTATTTATCCAGACTTTGATGTTTACATTTTTTTTTTAGTGAGGTATATAGTAGTGTTTTTCAAAAAGTTGCTCTTACATAACAATAATATGAAATGTGACAACAGTACATATAAAGTCACATTTAGATTGTTTACTTTCTATTCTCAGAAGGATTTTCTATAAAATTCTATTTACTAGTTTGAAGGTCTTTTCTCCCTATTCTATGGCTATGCTGAGCAGAATTTTGGCCTCTGTAATCTTTACCCTCTTGTGTTATGTATGTAAATACTTGATGTGACTTTGTAAAAGGGGGTTTGTAACAGAATTAAACTTGCTAACCAGTGGTCCTTAAAATAAAAAGATATTTACATTATCCAAGTAGACCCAATTTCATCACATGGGACCTTAAACTGGAAGTAGAAGACAGAAGAATCTGTCAGCCAGTCAGAAAAGTGGTATGAGAAGAAGATGAAATCCCAAGCATGAATCCCATCGCTGCCATTAAAGATGAAGGGAGCCATCCATTGACCAGGGAATGCCAGTGGCCTCTAGAAGCTGTGAATGACACCTAGTCAATTGCCAGAAAGGGAGCAGAGACCTCAGTCCTAGAGCAACATGGAATTAAATTCTGCTAACAACCTGGATGAACCTGGAAGCAGATTCTCTCCCACAGCCCAGCCCTTATTATTATTTTGGTTTTCAGCCTGTGCAAAACCCAGCTAAGCCCACTAGATTTCTCTGTAAGAAAATAAATTTGTGTTATTTAAGTAGTTAAGATATTTGTGTTAAATCTTTTAGAAAAAACCAGTTAAGTCCACTGGACTATG